GTAAAGACAGATGTAAAAAAATGTGTTAAACGCTTCTGCTTTCTCCCTGCTGCTTATCACCTTCTTGCCATTTTCTCCCCTTAATGGACCAATTGTTTCCTTGGGTTTTTGGTTTTGAGGTTGTTTTTTTGTTTTGTTTTGTTTCTTTACATGTTGAAAGAAGCTTTTATTTTTGGGTTATTTTTGACTTTTTTTTTTAATTTGATTTATATGCCGCCCTTCTCCGGAGACAATGCATTAAGCAATAGCCTTCATATTTTTGTATATTTATACAAAGTCAGCTTATTGCCCCCACAAACTGTGTCCTCATTTAACCTACCTTAGAAAGGATGGAAGGCTGAGTCAACCTTGAGCCTGGTGAGATTCGAACTTACAGTAATTGTAGACAGCTGGTGTTAATTACAATGCTTTTAGTCTGCTGAGCTACCAGACCTTTGTTAGTTCATCTTGGGCCTTTGCTTTCCTGACTTTATCTTTGCAAATTCAGGCTATTTGCTGATAATTCTGCCCTAGCTATGTGCCCCCCTTTCCACTTTTTATACTTGTCCTTTTTGTCTCTCAATTTATCAGAGTTCTTTATGCAGCAGGCTGGTTTCAACACTTCTGAGGTTGTTTTTCCCTTAAGGGTTTATATCAGTGGTCAGATTCAGCCAGTTTGGGTGAATCGGTAGTTAAATTGCTGGCTGGCCCTGCCCCTTCCAGGAGTCCCTCCGCACCCCATTTTGGCTCCCAGGTAAATGCAGAGAGGCCTCCTAGGCCCAAAAACAGGGTGCAGGGGGGACAATCCCCTCCGTGGACCGTTTTCGCTCCCAGGAGGCTTCAGGGAGGCTTCCTAGGCCCGTTTTCGCTTGCCAGGAGGTTTCAGGGAGGCTTCCTAGGCCCATTTTCACTTCCCAGGAGGCTTCAGGGAGGCTTGTTAGGCCCATTTTCACTTCCAGGAGGCTTCCTAGGCCCGTTTTTGCTCCCAGGAGACTTCAGGGAGGCTTCATAGGCTCATTTTTGCTTCAGGGAGGCTTCCTAGGCCCGTTTTCGCTCCCAGGAGACTTCAAGGAGGCTTCCTAGGTTCATTTTCGCTTCCCAGGAGGCTTCAGGGAGGCTTCCTAGGCCCGTTTCCACTTCCCAGGAGGCTTCAGGGAGGCTTGTTAGGCCCATTTTCACTTCCCAGGAGGCTTCCTAGGCCCGTTTTTGCTCCCAGGAGACTTCAGGGAGGCTTCATAGGCTCATTTTTGCTTCAGGGAGGCTTCCTAGGCTCATTTTCACTTCCCAGGAGGCTTCAGAGAGGCTTCCTAGGCCCGTTTTTGCTTCCCAAGAGGCTTCAGGGAGGCTTCCTAGGCCCATTTTTGCTTCCCAAGAGGTTTCAGGAAGGCTTCCTAGGCCCATTTTCACTTCCCAGGAGGCTTCAGGGAGGCTTGTTAGGCCCATTTTCACTTCCCAGGAGGCTTCAGGGAGGCTTGTTAGGCCCATTTTCACTTCCCAGGAGGCTTCCTAGGCCCGTTTTCGCTCCCAGGAGACTTCAAGGAGGCTTCCTAGGTTCATTTTCGCTTCCCAGGAGACTTCAAGGAGGCTTCATAGGCCCATTTTTGCTTCAGGGAGGCTTCCTAGGGTCATTTTCACTTCCCAGGAGGCTTCAGAGAGGCTTCCTAGGCCCGTTTTTTGCTTCCCAAGAGGCTTCAGGGAGGCTTCCTAGGCCTTTTTTGCTTCCCAGGAGGCTTCAGGGAGGCTTCCTAGGCCCGTTTTTGCTTCCCAGGAGGCTTCAGGGAGGCTTCCTAGGCCCGTTTTTGCTTCCCAGGAGGCTTCAGGGAGGCTTCCTAGGCCCGTTTTTGCTTCCCAAGTGGCTTCTGGGAAGCTTCCTAGGCCCGTTTTTGCTTCCCAGGAGGCTTCAGGGAGGCTTCCTAGGCCTGTTTTTGCTTCCCAAGAGGCTTCAGGGAGGCATTCTAGGCCCGTTTCCACTTCCCAGGAGGCTTCAGGGAGGCATTCTAGGCCCAAAATGGGGCACGGAGAGGGTGCAGCGCGGCCCATTTTTGCTCCCAGGGGGTTGCAGGAAGCCGACTGCTGCCTGTCATACCCCCTGGCCACGCTCACCCAGCAGAGAACCGGTTGTTAAATTATTTGAATCCCACCACTGGTTTATATCCATGGGATCCTTCCCATGCTCTCTCTTAAGTTTAGTGAAATCATCTCTATTAAAGTCCAACTCTCTAGTTTGACTTTGTTCTATTGCTTGTGCTTGCATAATGTTGAATTCCAGTGTTGCATGATCACTCCCCCCACTTGCCAAGATTCCTATAACTTCATCACCTTCTATCATTTCATCTCCGTTAGTCAGAATTAAGTCCAGTATGGCTGACCCTCTAGCTCCTTTCTCTATCTTTGGGGAGACAAAGATGTCTGTTAAGTTTGTCAGGAATTTGTTTGATCTTCCATTAGGTGCAGAGTTTGTCTCCCACTTGATGTCAGGGTAGTTAAAGTCCCCCATTACTATTCTGGTGTGCTTCCTACCAGGATGGATAAAAATCAATGATTTTTTTAAAAAAATCAAAAAAATCGGATTTTTTTTATTTAAATTGGATTTTTTTTTTATTTAAATTGGATTTTTTTGATTTTTATCGAATTTATTTTAATAAAAAACTTTTGGGGTAAAAATCTTATCGTAAGATAGTTTTCTATTTAAGATACATAAATAATTTAGTTTATCTTCCGCTGCGCCCTAAAAACGTTTTTATTCCAACAGGCTGGTCTGGCCGAACTCTCCCTTTTAAATTGGCTTTTAAATTGGGTTTTAAATTGGGTTTTAAATCTCTTTTAGATAAATTTGGATGTTTTAATCTTTGAGCCTAAATTATTTAATCTGTTTTTTAATAGTTTTTAACTGTTGTATATCTTTGTATTTTATTTATGACTGTTCACCGCCCTGAGTCCTTCGGGAGTAGGGCAGTATACAAATATGAAAAATAAATAAACAAACAAACAAACAAACAAACAAATAAATAAATAAATAAATAAATAAATAAATAAATAAATAAATTCAGCATGAAATGGAGCTTAGTTATGTAGCATGAGGCTGTGTATTCTGCAACCCTGGGACTATCGGTGAGTCAACAGTGGGTCAAAGGAGTAGCAGAGATGACAGTTGCTCTTTAAAAATTATGATTTAAATCGAGTTGATTTAAATCAAGCCTTTTTACTAGTGATTTAAATCATGATTTAAATTGTGATTTAAATCGTGATTTAAATTGTGATTTAAATCAACTCGATTTAAATCAAATCCACCCTGCTTCCTACATACCTTAATTAACTGACTAGCAAAAAAAATCCATCTATTTCCTCTGTTTGTTTGGGTGGCCAGTAATATACACCTGACCCGAATGCATTCAAGGTGATTTGCAGCATTGCTCTACTCTATTTCTGTAGAGATGTAGTTATTTCTTATATATAGTGCAACTCCACCTCTTCTTTCATTAGGTCTGTTTCTTTTAAACAGTTTAAATCTTTCTAGCTATGTATTCAATTCATGGCTTTCATCCCACTAAGTTTACCTGATGGCAACAATATCATATCTACCCTCATATGCTTGGATTTACAATTCACCCTGTTTATTCCTCATACTCTGTGCATTGGTGTGTAGGCATCTGAGTTCTTTTTGATTGACCCTGTCTTTCTTTTCTACATACAGTAATTTGTTTTGTGTCTGAATTTCCCTTCTTCCTTACCGCCTATTTTGTACATACATTTGTACCTTAAAATTATAGTCTCCACCTTTCCAGCTTTGCAAACTGGCAGCAGTAATGATAGGGAGAGGAGATGGTTCTGTGCGAATGGCAGTCGTACACAGCTCTATTTGCATGAGTGGTGGGCTCGCACGCATGCCACTTGCACAAGTGGAGCTTCGCATGTGCACACGCTCGCCTGTGTCTCATGCAAGTGGAGCTGCACACGTACATGCTTGCTCGCCCACTGCTTGCACGGCCCAATTCCAAATGGGCCATGCCTCAGAGGTTGGGGATCCCTGCCTTAAAGTAAGTACATATAGACGTGGTGGTTCAGTGGCTAAGACACTGAGTTTGTCGATCGAAAGGTCGGCAGTTCAGAGGTTCGAATCCCTAGTTCTGCGTAAAGGGGTGAGCTCCCATTACTTGTCCCAGCTTCTGCCAACCTAGCAGTTCGAAAGCACGTAAAAAATGCAAGTAGAAAAATAGAGACCACCTTTGGTGGGAAGGTAACAGCGTTCCATGCGCCTTTGGCGTTTAGTCATGCCGGCCACATGACCTCGGAGACGTCTTCGGACAGCGCTGGCTCTTCAGCTTTGAAACGGAGATGAGCACCGCCCCCTAGAGTCAGGAACGACTAGCATGTATGTGCAAGGAGAATCTTTACCTTTACCTTACAGACGTTTGTTCCTTAAAAGTGGGGCAGAAAAATGTGCCAAGAGATGCATTTGAAGTGGGTCAGCATAGCTCTCTAGGGGACCTATTCTTGGATAGTCCCTCCCTTCATCCCCAGAGCCAGGGTGAGAGACAAGGGGGAAATGGGCAGACTAGGAATGGTGAAATGTAGGTTTGGCCCCCTTTCAGTCATGAAAGTTGTTTTGGGCAGGGGTCCCCAACCTGTAGGCCACGGTCCACTGCCAGGCTGTGGCTTCTTAGCCACTGGGCTACGTGAGTGGCTGACCAGTGCATCCATGTGCACACACACACACACACTCATGCTAGTGTTTTGAGTGTCACAGCGAGCGTTGCAAGGCACTAGCGTCACGGAGAGCATCGTGCAGCTTCGTTCACTCATCCATTTGCTTGTAAAGGCGCCTGCCCTCTCCCCTCCGGCCACAAACCCAGAAAGGTTGGGGAACTCTGCTCTAGGGGTCTGAAGCAGTCTTCTCTCAGTTGAGCCTACCTCTCAGGGTTGTTTGAGACCAGGGGTCCTCAAACTTTTTAAACAGAGGGCCAATTCACAGTCCCTCGGACTGTTGGGGGGGGCCGGACCGACTGGATGGGTGTGGCTAGGTGGACATGTGACTGGGCGGGCATGGCCAATTTAGCCGTCCATTAAACAATACACATAAATTAAACTTTAATTTGTTTTGCTCGTGGGGGTGGAAAGAAGGTTAGTGAAGAGATGTGGCTGCCTTGGGGGGGGGCGTGTAAGGGACTTCTGTTTGTGTGTCTTTTTAGCCTCCACGCATCCCGTTTTTGGCCTCCTCTGCCTCCAGAAGGCAGGTGGGGACCGTGGGTAGGTGGGGCAATGTGAGCGGAGCAGCCTTGTGGTCCCGCGCGGGCCAGATTAATGACTTCGGCGTAGTTTGAGGATCCCTGTTGTAGACGTAAATTTGAGGTTCTCATTTGATCTCATCCCTTTCTCACTCTGTGGCAGGGTGGATTTGATTTAAATCAATTTAATCAAGTTAAATCAATCACTAGTAAAAAGGCTTTATTTAAATCAACTCGATTTAAATCATAATTTTTAAAGAGCACCGGTCATCTCTGCTACTCCTTTGACCCGCTGTTGACTCACCGATAGTCCCTGTGTTGCAGAATATACAGCCTCATGCTACATAACTAAGCTCCATTTCATGCTGAATAAACTAAATTATTTATGTATTTTAAATAGAAAACTATCTTACGATAGATTTTTACCCCAAAAGTTTTTTATTAAAATAAATTTGATTTAAATCAAAAAAATCCAATTTAAATCAAAAAAATCTGATTTTTTTTATTTTTTTTTTAAAAATCATTGATTTTTATCCACCCTGCTCTGTGGTCATCATGGATCTAAAGATGTTAGAGTAAGGAGAGGGGGCAATCCCAAGTTCCCCAGTTTGTTATTTCAAAAGGCTTACCCCTCCCCCTCCCCCGTAAGCCATTTTAGTGATTTCTTTGCTCAGGCAGATCATGTGAACGCAGCGTCTTTTGCTAACTTGAGGTTAAGGTTTTTACCCGCAACATGTGAATCAGGTCATGGTTTTTCGCTTTGTCTGCAGGCAGAGGAGCTGCAATTGGGCTGCATAACAGCGTCTTCTGTTACAAGGGTCCATCCAAGCCCTTTTGGGGCTTGGCACCCCTCCTGTTTGGGCCAGTCTTTGTCAGGAAGAGAAAGCATTGAACTATGCCGTCGGAAATGACCTTGCAGGACAGGCCAAACATGGCCGCATCACAAGCCGAGCTGGATCACAGATCGGAGAAGAAATCGGGGAAGAAGAAAGCCTGCCCAGAGGCCAAAAAGACTCCTTATCGTCTCCGGGGTTCGAGCAGCAGAGAACCTGAGGTGCAGAAGATCCCGATCAAGGACCTGCCCAGTTCCGATGTCCGGCGAGAACACTTCCGGCAGTTCGCCTATCAGGATGCGAAGGGTCCCCGAGAGGTTTGCAGCCAACTGCACGATCTTTGCCACCAGTGGCTGAAGCCGGAGATGCACTCCAAAGCTGAGATGCTGGACCTGGTGATCCTCGAGCAGTTCCTGGCCGTCCTGCCCCCGGAAATGAAGAACTGGGTGCGGGAATGTAAGGCGGAGACCAGCTCCCAGGCGGTGGCCTTGGCCGAAGGCTTCCTCCTGAGCCAAGCAGAGGAGAAAAGGCAGCAGGTGAGAACAGAGCCTTGAGATGGTTTGCTTGATCATCCCTCAGCTGCTTTCTGCTCACTGCATTTTAGAGTAGAGTAGAGTAGAGTAGAGTAGAGTAGAGTAGAGTTGGAAGGGACCTTGGAGGTCTTCTAGTCCAACCCCCTACTCAGGCAGGAGACCCTATACTATTTCAGACAAATGGTTGTCCAATCTCTTCTTCAAAACCTCCAGTGTTGGAGCATTTACAACGTCTGGAAGCAAGTTGTTCCACGGGGAAGCTAACTTAACATATGCAGTGATTCACTTAACAATTGTGGTGAGAAAGGTCATAAAATGAAGCCAAACTGACTTAACAACTGTCTTGCTTCGCAACAGAAATTCTGGGCTCCATTTTTGGTTGTAGGTCAAGGACATGTAAACAAGTTACAATATTAATGGTGAATATTCAACCAGACTTCCCCCTCCCCCTCTTTTCTGCTACAGGTAATCCTCAATCCTCAAAATTGAGCCCAAAATTTCTGTTGCTAAGTGAAACATTTGTTAAGTGAGTTTGCCCCATTTTACGACTTTTCTTGCCACTGTTGTTAAGTGAATCATTGCATTTGTTAAGTTAGTCACACGGTTGTTAAGTGAATTGGATTTGGGTTATTGGATTCCCCCATTGACTTTGCTTGTCAGAAGGTGGATTTTGATTAAGGGATGTGTTCTGCCCCAGCTACGGATCCCAAAGAATACAGCACACACAAAGTTTGTACAAAACTTAATTTACTAAAAATAACTCAAGTCTTTTTCAAAACAAAGGCTGTTAATAAACTTTCTTAACAGCCTACAAGAAACCAAAGATAAAGTAATCACAATCTTACGAAGGTTGGCAGAAAGCCCAGAAGCAATTTTGCAGAGAATCCAGACGCGAAGTAGAGTGAACTAAAGTTGTTCCCTACAACTTGCTTCAGTCGGCGTTCCTCCTTAAATAGGCTAAGGGAGTGAACAATTAGCCCCAAGCCTTACTCTCGAGGAGACCTCCTCCTGAGGAGCCACTTCTGCCTTTTGGCAGCTCTGCGCATCCGTGCATCGAGAAGAGGCTCCTCCTCTTCGTCCTCTTCACTTAAAGGAGCTTCTGGAGGTTCTGTAGGCCCTGGCTGAATCCCCCGCCTCTGGCATCACATCTTCTCCAGCCTCCTCATTGTCTGACTCGGGTGCCAGCTGCACAGGCTGCTGGCGCAACACCACACCAGCCTCCTCGCTGTCAGAATCAGCTACAATCCGCACAGGCCGCTGACGGGCACAACAGGATGCTACAATAGTCATATGTGTGAAAAATGGTCATAAGTCACTTTTTTCAGAGCCGTTGCAATTTTGATCAATCACTAAATGAGCTGTTCCAAGTCGAGGACTATAACAGAATAATAGAATTGGAAGGGACCTTGTAGGTCATCTAGTCCAACCCCTCGCCCAAGCAGGAGGCCCTACACCATTTCTGACAAATGGCAGTCCAATCACTTCTTGAAAGCCTCCAGTGATGAAGCTCCCACAACGTCCAAAGGCAACTTCTGTTCCATTGGTTGATCGTTCTCAGTGTCAGAAAATTTTCTCCTTATTTCTAGATTGAATCTCTCCTTGATCAGTTTCCATCCATTATTCCTACTACCTGTATTTCTTTTCTCGTCTTTCTCTTTGGTCTTTGAGGGTTTATCATTTTCTTTTTCCTTTGAAGGACCGAGTTGTGGCAGAACCCACCAACTTTCCCAGGGTAGGAAAAAAAGCACAGGGGCCTCATCCCAAACCACCTGTAAGGCGGATCAAGCAAGAAGTGGACAAGATTGCCATTCCATTAGGTAAGTGCTTGGAGGCCATTTTCCAGCTTTGCCTTTTTATTGGTAAGCGTAACTAAAATTATACCAACCGCTTTTCTGTTCTGAATCAATGCAAACATTGATTGTTCTGAATCAATGCAATGCAAAAAGAGCCTTGGTGGTGCAACGGACTAAAGTGCTGTTAAGTAGCACTTAGCTGCCAGCTGCCTGCAATTACTGCAAGTTCAAATCTCACCAGGCTCAAGGTTGACTCAGCCTTCCATCCTTCCGAGGTAGGTAAAATGAGGACCCGGTTTGTGGGGGCAATAAGCTGACTTTGTATAAAAAAGAACACCGCTTAGGGGGGACCAAAAGCCCTACTAAGCAGGTATATACAAAAGTATGAAGGCTATTGCTTAATGTATTGTAAGCCGCCCTGAGTCTCCGGAGAAGAGCGGCATATAAATCGAACCAATAAACAATAATAAACGTAAAGCTGGGTTAGACAGCTATTTGAAATTGGGGGCATATTTTGCGAGGGTTCTCCCGAAAAGGCTGTCATGGTGAGCCTGTAGAAATTCTCAGTCATCCAGATCATGGTTGTCCCAAAAAGGTGCTTTTTCAGGAGGCAACTAGACTTCCTTGTTTTTTCTTTGAAGACGTTTCGCTTCTCATCCAAGAAGCTTCCTCAGCTCTGACAGGATAGTGGGGAATGGATAAAACATCTTTGGGACTGTCATGGTAAGACAGTCAGGATCATAAAAAGCTCTCATGGCAAAAGCGGAATGCTGTTTTTCCCAGACAGAAAACATGGGATGACAAAGAAATAAATGTATTTTATTGGGTTGGTTTAGATTCATGTATTTCAAGCATGGGCACTTTAAGACAAGTGGACTTCAACTCCCAGAATTCCCCCAGCCAGCATGGAATGATGAACGATGAATCCAGAATGCTGGCTGAGGGAACTTCGAGAGTTGAAGCCCACCCCTTAAAAGTGCCCAAGGTTGAAAAACACTATATAGACATAGTCATCCCAAAGGTGCTTTTTTTTCAAGAGGCAACTGGACTTTCTGGTTTTGCTCTGAAGACATTTCGCTTCTCATCCAGGAAGCTTTTTCAGTTCTGAAGAATGTGTGAAAAATGGTCATGAGCCACAGTTCTGAAGAAGCTTCTTGGATGAGAAGCGAAAACATCTTTAAAAAAAAGAAAGAAAAGAAAAACCAGAAAGTTCAGTTGCCTCTTGAAAAAAGCAAGCAAAAGCAAACGGTTTTTGCCCTTTAAACCCCTCAAAACAAAAGATATCAGGGTTTTTAAAACATGTTTGCCCAATTAGAGAACCATTGCAGAACCCTGGATTTTCTTTATTGTAGGGAGAAACAGTGTGGGAGAGAAAGGGGCTGGACTAGAAGTGGGAAGAACCAAGTTCTGGTTCCTCTAAACTGCAGAAGCTCCCTGGAGAACCTGAATTGGTCCCTGTTTGAGAACCTCAGGGTGGGATATGGGTGGAGGTACTGGACCAGGAGTGAAGAAACCAGATTCTAGACACCTCTCGGGCACAGAAGCCCTCTGGCAGGAACTGGGATGGTCCCTCTTTTAGTTTTAGTTTAGTTTAGTTTAGTTTTTAGTTTTATTTGATTTGTATACCGCCCTACTCCCGAAGGACTCAGGGCGGTGAACAGCCAAGCAATAAAATACATAAATACAAAAATTTAAAAAACCAGTTAAAAAAAACCAGTCTTGCTTCACCCAGCCCCATTCCCAAAATTATTGTGGGAAAGGATGGAGCATTTTTGGCCCCATCTTTCTCAGAATGACCTCCGATCGTTCAGCTTGAAGGCTAAAGACGCAGCATGGCCTCCTCCAATTTGAAGAGACACTTGTTCGACAGACCGAACCAAAGAGGCAGTCCTGGAATCAACGAAATCTGGGGGCTGGGCAGGGGACAGAATGTATCTGCCCTCAGTGTGGAAGGGATTGCCACTCTCGAATTGGCCTTTTTAGTCACACCAGATGCTGTTTTAGGACCTCTTTCCAGAGCACGATACCACAGTCTCTTGAGACTGAAGGATGCCAATGAACTTTCTCAGAAGGACATGAGGGTTATTGAAGGTGGACTTTCATCGACATTTCTCTACCTTCATTGTAGAACCTGAGTGTTGAGCTTTGAATTGTATTCAGCTGCTTTCACTTTTACTGCTTCAGTTTACCAACAGACCAGGGGAAAAGGGAGGGAGAAATTGGAATGTGCATTCCAGACCAAAACAATAAACTATCTCATGGGAACCAAGGACGTTCCATCAGATGTCTGCCAGAGTCGTGGAGGTTTTCCCATAGCAACACCTGGACACCTAATGGGACAATGTGACCTGTACTAATGGGGGGAAGAGGATTCTATACTTTAATTATACTGAATTGCCCGGGAATCAGCCAGAGCTGGTTTTGCTTTCATTCTGTGCCGAAATGATGTTCTCAATAAAGTTTTGCATTAAGAGATTGGATCGTCTCAACAGTGCTTGCTTGGTTGGGTTCATCAGTTGGAACCTTTACACTGAGTTCGCCTTCCAGATCCCAGAAATCAAATCATTTTGCATTTTTTTTTCTCTCTCTCTCTCCTAGGGAACAAACCACAGCTGGCCACTGGATGTAACCTACCTTCCTCACAGCTGGATCAGGTAAGGGAATAAACAGTCAGAAAGATAACTTGGGACTCATCTCCTTGGATTAGAAAGAATTTTTCTGCTGTCAGATACAGGTAGTCCTCAACTTACAATCATTTGAAGTTACGACAGCCCTGAAAAAAATGACTTATAACCATTTTTCACACTTACGACCATTGCAGCATCTCTATGCTCATGTGATCAAAATTCAGACACTTGGCAATTGGTTCATATTTATGACAGTTACAGTGTTATGGGGTCACGGCAGGAGTGAAATGCTCCCGGTTCGGACCGGATTGCCCGATCCGGTAGTGATGGCGGCGGGTGGTTCGGAGAACCGGTAGCAAAAATCCCTGTGCCCCCCCCCCAATGCCCAGCTGAGCTGCATGATCATCAGAGGCTTTTTTTAAAAAACTTTTAAAAGCATTTTTTCTACAACCTCTTCCGATGAAAAAATGCTTTTAAAAGTAAAAAAAAAGCCTCGGATGATCGGGCGGCTCAGCTGGGATCATCAGAGGCTTTTCAAAGCATTTTGTTCTGCAACCTCTTGGCTGAAGAGGTGGTTAAAAAAAATGCTTTGAAAAGTCTCTGACGTTCCCAGCTGAGTTCCTGATCGGCAGAGAGGCTTTTCAAAGCATTAGAAAAAATGCTTTGGAAAAAAAAAAAAAGTTGGCCATGCCCACCCAGTCACATTACCCCCACCACCAAGCCACGCCCACAGAACCGGTAGTAACAGATTTTACATTTCACCTTTGGGTCACGGGGTCCCCTTTTACGACCTTGTGACAAGCAAAGTCCATGGGGATGCAAGATTCACTTAACAATTATGTTACCGACTTAACAACTACAGCGATTCATTTAACAACTGTGACAAGCAAGGTGGGGCAAAATTCACTAAACCACTCTCTTGCTTAGCCACAGAAATTTTGAGCTCGGTTGTGGTCGTAAGTCGAGGACTACCTGGATATCCCTAAAGAACCCTTTCCAAGGACCAAGGGGGCTCGTGTTCTGTCCCACTGGATCTTGAAGACCCCCGTTGGACTTTGCTAAGGAATGTTTTAATGCTTTAATTGTACGAAGCCGACATTTGCTGCTTTTTTAGGTGATGCTTGAGGAAGTCTCTGTGACTTTCAGCGAGGAGGAGTGGGCGCTGCTGGATCCAGACCAAAGAGCCCTACACAGAGATGTGATGGCGGAGAACAGTGGCATTGCCTCCTCTTTGGGTAAGTGTGATGACCCGGAGCACGGCACAGAGGTAACATAGGCAGCTGCCAGTTCAAACCGCCCCTTTTGTGCTCCAAATTTCCCCAAACGCTCCCACGTTTCTGGCAAGTCCCAGAGCAAAGTGATCACACACACTTCAAGCAGCCTCTGGCTGCATATAGTCCAGCCCAACACTATGAGCACCATGGCTGCCAGATTAGATTAGATTAGATTAGATTAGATTAGATTAGATTAGATTAGATTAGATTAGATTAGATTAGATTAGATTAGATTAGATTAGGGATGGATGGATGGATGGATGGATGGATGGATGGATGGATGGATGGATGGATGGATGGATGAATGGAATGTAGAATGTCAGACTTCATTTTATAATTTACCAAAAATCTTTTTGTTTTTCCCTCCTGCCAGGAAGTGACTGGCCAGACAGTGAAAACGGAGAAATCTATGAGATATTGTTCGGAAAAATTGAAAGCGAGAAGGATGACAAGCAGAGACCAAACACCGAAGCCGGCAGAGTGAAGGATGAATCTCCAGGTTCTTACAACACCGAATTCTACGAGCTTCCGGTCCGCGAAAAAATAGAAGACGGGATCGAATGGAGCCAATGCCTCCTGTGCGGCAAAGCCTTCGACTGCCAGTCGAGCCTGATCGCTCACTGGGAGAGCCACACCACCAAGAAGCCCTACAAATGCCTGGAGTGCGGGAAGAGCTTCAGCACCAGGCAGTACTTGGGCTGCCACCAGCGAGTTCACACTGGGGAGAAGCCCTTCAAGTGCGCCAAATGCGGGAAGAGCTTCAGCACCAGGCAATACCTCTCCTGTCACCAGAGAATCCACACCGGGGAGAAGCCCTTTAAGTGTTTGGAGTGCGGGGAGACCTTCTGCTGGGCCAATTCCCTGACCTTACACCAGATCGTCCACACGGGAGAGAAGCCATTCAAGTGCCTGGTGTGCGGGAAAACTTTCAGCAGGAGCACCAGCCTTTCCTCCCATCAGAGGATCCACACGGGGGAGAAGCCATATAAATGCTTAGAGTGCGGCAAGAGGTTCATCCACAACACCAGCCTCACTTACCACCGGCAGCACCACACCGGCGTGAAGCCCTACAAGTGTCCCGAGTGCGGCAAAAGATTCAGTCACAGGACAAGCCTGACCTACCACCAGCGCAGTCACACCGGCGTGAAACCGCACGCCTGCTTGGAGTGCGGGAAGAATTTCAGTACCCGACAGTACCTCATGTCCCACCAGAGAATCCACACAGGAGAGAAACCGTACAAATGCGCCGAGTGCGGGAAGCGCTTCGTCCACAGCACCAGCCTCAGCTACCACCAGCGCCTTCACCGCGGGGAGGAGCCCTTTCAGTGTTTGGACTGTGGGAAAAGTTTCATTACACGCCAGTGCCTGAATTCACATCGCCGAATCCATACCGGGGAAGAACCCTTCAAATGTCTGGAGTGCGGGAAGACCTTCCGGAGACGCACGAGCCTTATTTCCCACCAGGCTATCCACATGGGAGAGAAGCCGTACAAATGCCTGGAGTGCGGAAAGAGCTTCACGACGAGCAAGTACATCCTTTCCCATCAGAGGATCCACACCGGAGAGAAACCTTACAAATGTTTGGAGTGCGGACAGACCTTCTGTTGGGCTAACTCCCTCACCTTGCACCAGATAACGCACACGGGAGAGAAACCCTTTAAATGCACGGAGTGCGGGAAGAGTTTCAGCCGAGGCACCAGCCTTACCTCGCATCAGCGGATCCACACCGGCGAGAAACCATACAAATGTTTAGTGTGCGGAAAGAACTTCAGCACTAACAGGTACCTGACTTGCCATCAGCGGATCCATATTGTGGATAAAGCGTATAAATGCCTGGTGTGCGGAAAGAGCTTTAGCACCAGCAAATACCTCAGCTGCCATCAAAGAATTCACACCGGAGAGAAGCCATTTAAATGCCTGGAATGTGGAAAGAGCTTCTGTTGGGCATATTCCCTGACTTTGCATCAAAGAATCCACGCAGGTGAAGATGGATATAAATGCTAGGAGTATGAAAATTACTCTGGTTTTGGATTTTTTTTTTTTTTTTATGTGGGGACGGAAGGATGAAGGAGCCCTTATCGTGGAAGGATTTCAGAGAAAAACTATAGAAATCATTGTGGAAAGAGATTTGTGTAGAACACGGACGCCATTTCTTTGCATTAGATATGAATATATGTTTCTGTGTGTGCTTTTTTTTTTTTTTTTTGGGTGCGTTGGCCCATTGTGGTTGTCCAGTGTTTCTGATGCCTTCTTTTGCCAGCCCCGCTTTCGAGGACTGGGAACTGGATTTGAATCTTCAGCTCGCGCCACATCTAAGTGATCATTGGACCCTAATTTGAGTTCTTGGAGCGAGAAGGAAAGAGTGTTAATTCTGTGCAGTGATCTCGCTTCTCAATGAGGACCAGAGACGCAAGAGGATCTGTAGAAATGCCTGGAGTTTTGCAGAGGTCTTTCAGTTGGAGATGACGACTCAAGGATCCCCTATCGTAGGTTTGCTAGGAATATGCTAGGAATTTAGGAGGAGTGGTGCGGTGGCCTAGAGGTGGAGCTCCTGCCTCACAATCAGGAGGCTGTGAGTTCGATCCTAGGTAGAGGCAGATATTTCTCTCTCTGGGCCCACTGAGAATATATCTGCTGAACAAAACTCCGCATTGGCGACCGGGAAGGGCATCCGGCCATTAAACACTCTGCTAGCTCCATTCAGTTTCCCACACTCCACCTTGCAAGGGATTATGGGGTCATTAAAAGGTGATGATGCTAGGAATTTAGGACTGCTCATCCATAGTATATCCCTTGTGGGTTCCTACAAAATTGAACTTCTATATGATTTAAGGATATCTCATCATAATCAAAGTTGTCTGACCTATTTCTGTAAGACAGGGATCGCAGGTATCTTCTGATCCTTGGCCACCAAGTCTCCCTCAGTCTACTAGCCGAAATGCTTGACTCTCCAGTTTTGAGAGTCCTTAGTAACGTACCGCTTCTCAGTGCTTTACAGCTCTCTCTAAGCAGTTTACAGACTCAGCATATTGCCCCCAATAATCTAGATCCTCATTGTACCGACCTCGGAAGGATGGAAGGCTGAGTCAACCTTCAGCTGGTGAGAATCGAACTGCTGGCAGCCGGCAGTCAGCAGAAGTAACCTGCAGTACTGCATTCTAACCACTGTACCATTATGGCTCAGTACCACCAAGTCTTCCAGACACAGAATTTCAAGAAGAAAACATGGCTTCCAGCAAGCAGAATCGGTGTGCAAAATTCCTGTTTACTCTCTTTCTGTAGCAAATGCAACAACATTCAAGATTGCTGGAGTGGAGGGGGATAATTTTGTGGGTGTTCCCAATTCGTTTATTGTATTTTTTAAAAAAATTAGGGTTATATCTCCCTGCTTCAGCAAAATTCGGCAAGGTAACCAGCTCCAAATCAACCAGAAGGTTTCCACGATGGAAGGTGGATTTGAACTCGGATCTTTCCCTTCTGGTCTAATCCTAAACATTGCTCTTTTCTCAAAGGAGCCCACAAAATGGAGGCGGAAGTGGGGGGGGGAACACCTGTAGCCGTGTCCTAGTGTAAACCTCAACCCTGACATACTTGTTTCTGGCATCAGTATGCAGGTACCCAAGAAACAGGCTTTTGGTATGATGTCGTAAGTCAACATCAGCTGCGGGTTTCTGTGCTGGAAGGTAGATTTGAACTCGGGTCTCTCCTGCATAGTCTAATCCCAGAATTGCCAGGAAGTCCTTCTTTGGAAGTGTGATGGCGCATCCTCGGACTGATGTTTTGCAACGGGCCCACAATGCATTGCAACCATTCCAAAATGTGACTGCTAAACCCTGAAAGATTGGCCGTCCCTGCTTTAGCCTCTCTGAATCTAGTTCTTCTCGTTCATCTCCTCTTCCTCCAGGCTGACTTTGGAAACATTTTGGGGGGACAATCGTCCCCAAACCCAATGACTCGAGCAGGCTGAATGGATCATCCTTTCTGGGGTTTCTCCCACTTGTGTTTCCCACTCATCATTCTAGGCTCCCTTCTTTGTGTGGACGTCAATCTTATCCTCACAGACCATTTAGGAGCACTCGCGCCCCTTTGAGACTTGGGGTGGGGTCATGGGTGGATCCAAGCAGCAGGGCCTTTTTAGTGGTGGCAGCGAGACAAACCATCTGCCTGAAAGACGGGCGTTGCATCGTTTGACAAACTGCAAAAAAGAGAACTTTTTTTTCCCTGCGGGTCGCTTCCATCTCACGGCAATTTTCCTTGCAGATCCGTTTCGGCCATGCTACAATGCTGCTTCTCTGGATTTAACTCTCGATAAAATCATAGGGATGTGCAGAGCACGGATCTACATGGGAAGAGCTCTTTTTGAGCGGGCCGTGCCTCCATCAAAGTAACAACTCTGTGAGGTGTGTTGATCTGTGCACGTGTGATGGCATATAGTCCAGGGCTGCAGGAGGAGGAGAGGCTCCTTCACAGAGAGCAAAGAGATAATGTTGCTTGGGGACCTTTGATATGCAGGAAGAGATTGAAGGCAGAGCGTCCTCTACCAGAGAGGTGGGGACCTTTAGCAATAAAAATAACACCCGTATTTTTCGGACTATAAGACACAGCTAAATTTAGAAGAGGAAAACAACCAAAAAATGTTTTTGGCCGCCTTTTTTTCAGCCTTTCTTCGGCCCATTTTTTTCGGAAAAAACGGGCCCCAAAACCCCTCAAAAACAGGCCAGAAAAAGTCTCAAAAATGGGTCTGAAAAAGGCCAGAAAATGGGGTGTGCAGAGGCCAAAAAACACCCAGCAGGTGGGTGGGGCTTTGGCAATATTCAATCTATAAGACACACACACATTTTCACTCCCTTTTGGGAGACAAAAAAGTGTCTTATAGTCCGAAAAATACGGTAGATTTATATACCGCTTCACAGTTCTTTACAGAGTCGGCGTATCACCCCTAACAATCTGGCTCCTTATTTTTACCGACCTCGGAAGGATGGAAAGCTGAGTCAACCCTGAGCCTGTGAGATTCGAACTGCAGGCAGCCGGCAGGCAGCAGAAGTAGCCTGCAATACTGCGTTCTAACCACTGCGCCACCACGGCTCTTATGACTTGTGGACTTCAACTCCCAAGATTCCTGAGCCAGCATGGGTAGCTCAGGAATTCTGGGAGTTGAAGTCCACAAAATCATATAAGGGCCATCGTGCCCCACCCCTGGCAGAGTATATTGAACACTTACGTAGATAAGTGTTCTGATTCAGGCAAGGTTGATATCCAGCCAAGGAGCCAACAATGACACCACAGGAGGAGTTGCTTCTAATTAGTTTCTCATTATTACTCATCTAGAGACAGAGATCTTCTAAGCTATGTTGTCTCTAATGAAGGAGAATATTTGGAGTTTAGGGTTGAAATGAAGGGTCCTTGGTGCTCTCTGAGCTTGCTTGTTTTCATGCAGACGTTTCATTACCCAAACTTGGTAACAGCATCAGTGGTTAGTAAGGAGTGAGGTTTGCTATCAGTTTATATTCTGGTGGCTTGTCAGTGTTGGTGGGGGTGCTCTTAGAGATTCTGGGCTGTTTGCTGTTGGCTTCTTTGGCAGTTTCTTGATTGGGGTATTGTTTACTTGATTGTTGGTCTGATGTTAACCTTGTAGTTAATGGTCCAAGGACCTTATTAACTCCAAAAGTCGGTATTAACTCCAAGGTTAATAACGTGGTGGCGCAATTTATTTATTTATTTATTTGTTTGTTCCAACTTGTATGCCGCCTTTCTCCGAAGACTCAAGGCGGCTTACAATGCATTTAAAAACCATATATAAAAACATTAAACATTAAAACATTAAAAACAATTAAAGCCCATTCACACCATTCATGGCCGGATCTCGCCAATCGCAACAGCGAGATCAACGGCCCCAGGCCTGCCGGAAGAGCCAGGTCTTCACCACTTTTCGGAAGGCCAACAGGGTGGGGATGGTCTGGACCTCAGGACATAACTGGTTCCAGAGAGCCGGGGCAGCCACAGAGATGGCCCTCCCCCGTGGGCCCACCAGTCGGCATTGTTTAGCTGACGGGACCCTGAGGAGACCAACTCTGTGGGATTTTACCAGTTGCTGGGAGCTATGTGGTAGAAGGCAGTCTCGAAGATACCCTGGTCCTGAGCCATGTAAGGCTTTAAAGGTAATAACCAACACCTTGAATTGTGACCGGAGACTAATAGGGAGCCAGTGCAGCTCGCGGAGAATTGGTGAAATGTGGGTGTACCTAGGTGCACCCACGACAGCTCATGCGGCCGCAATGGTGAGAATGCAGTATTGCAGGCTAATTCTGCGGACTGTTAAGACGTTTGATTCTCACCGGTTCAAGGTTGACTCAGCCTTCCATCCTTCCGAGTTGGTAAAATGAGGATCCAGATTGTTGGGGGAGCAATATGCTGACACTGTAAACCGCTTAGAGAGGGCTGTAAAAGCACGATGAAGTAGTATGTAAGTCTAAGTGCTATTGCAATTGCTATCAGGCCAACAATCAAGAAGTAAATGATACCCCAATCAAGAAACAGCCGAAGAAGCTAACAGTAAACAGCCCAACCAAAGAATCTCTAATACTACTGCCACCAACATTGACAGGGCAAGCCACCGGAATATCAACTGTCAGCAAACCCCACTCCTTACTAGCACTGATGATGTTACCTAGTTTGGATACTGAAATGCCTGCAAGAAAACAAGCTCAGAGAGCACCAAGGACCTCTCATGTTGTCTCTTTGGTCTTTATGAAAAAAAACCTCTTCATCCTGTGACTCTGAACTATATTCCACCACGGCACAGCAGAAACAAAATGGGGCCATTTTGTCCCTCCTGAATAGACTTGGTCCAGATGAAAGTGGTCTAATGGGGAGGATGATGATGGCCTGGGAAGGTGGGGAAGAAAGCAGGGCGGACAGTGGGAGGCATCACCTAAGGACATCGGTGGCAAGGAAAGAAGTTGCAGGCTGGAGCTGGTGGGAGATGTCATGCCGAGAAGGACCGACGTGCATCGGACGTACTCAACCTTGTCCTGTCCGGATTTTGCTTCGCCCCAAACCAAACAGCCGAAGCACTTAAGAGCTTGTTATTGCTGGACTGTGGCTGAGTTTGGCAGAACTTCTGAAACACGGTGGCCGGTTCTGCGTTCGAAACAAACTGTTGATTCTTTTCTCGGGGCCCAGCCCTATGTTGTTGATGAACTTTGGTTAGATGTGTAGAAAAGTGGGTTTAATGCGAAAAGTAGAGTAGTAATCCTATGTTTAAGCAACTCCTCCCCCATTGTAGGAATCCGCTCAGGTGAGGCACTGAATTGGAGAAGAGAGGTGTGAATCGATTAGGAGTCCCCAACCCCGGGGCCAGGGTTTGAAACCGGGCTGCGCAAGCAGCGGGCGAACAAGCACGTACGTGCAATTCCATTTGCGCAAATGGAGTTGTGCGTGCGCCTGCCGCTCACATTAAATCATCCCCTCTCCCCTCCCGCCAGTCCCCAAGCCGGAAAAGCTGGGGACCATTGTCTTAGAAGACCAACCGAGACTCCGGTAGACTGGCAGCCTGAATTGGGCCCAAGCTTTCAGGTGCCTTTGGAAAAAGAGGCTCTTCTTCATTGCCGAGAATTCAGCTTTAGTGTCTAGAGCCACAGTCTGTTTTTTTCCATGGCGTTTCTTGTTTAAACGGTGCCAGTTTATGCATGTTTTAAGAGAAATCCAGTGAGTTACATTCAGCTTTTGCTCTCTGTGTTTTGGTTGTTTTTTTTTCCCCCCTTTTTTTCTCTGTAATTTCATTTTTGTATGCCTTCTCGGATAGTTAATCTGATTAATCTCCTGTACTAAAAGCATGGAATTACAGATAGGTATTTTGAGTGACAGTTTTCGTGGGAGGTGTACAAAAGGCAGTGTCGTGCACAAGCCTAGTCTACAGTGGGAGGGGACAAATCACACATCGTGATACCGCAATGAGGCCACGCATGGTATGACTGACATTATAGCAGCTGACACAGGTAGTCCTTGACTTACAACGGTTCATTTCGTGACCGTTCAAAAGGAGTGGTGCAGTGGCCTAGAGGTGGAACTCTCGCCTCGCAATCAGGAGGCTGTGAACTCAATCCTAAGTAGAGGCACAGATATTTCTGTCTCGGGGCACACTGAGAATATATCTGCTGAACAAAACTCCACATTGGCGACAGGAAAGGCATCCGGCCATTAAAACACTCTGCTAGCTCCATTCACTTGCCCAGACTCCACCCTACATGGGATTATGGGGTTGTGAAATGATGATGATGATTTACCGACCGTTCAAAGTTACAACGGCACTGAAAAAAATGACACGACCATTTTTCACGCTTATGTCTGTTGCAACTGGCTCATATTTATGACGGTCGCAGTGTCCCTGGGTCACATGGATCATTTTTTGCAGCCTTCTTTTTTTTTTTATTGAAAAAGTTTTTCAAATACAGATTTTTCCCCCTTTTTTCCCCTCCTCCTCCCTAACCCCCCCTCACCCTCCCCACCCCCCCATGGCTTCTCCAAAAATAAAATCCAAATTGATATCAAATTATATAATACTTTTCCATCCTTTTACACCACCCCCCACATGCTAACCCTTTCTTTCTAACATTGTTATTATATCCCCCCTATACTATACATTTCAAAGCAACCTTCAACTATAAAACTATATAATAAATCCTAATTTGACATTTACTCAACTCATAATCTACCTATTTCCTCCCCCATACATATATCTCCCAATTCAAATTTATCTGTTTTAACGCCATCCTGCCACACAGACAAACTCTTTTAAAAAAAAAAAAGGACTTTCCTCCAAACAATATCAATATCAAGTCTCTAAGAAGGAAAAACTTAAAATAGAAATTTTTCTCTTCAATTCTAGCCAGCGCTATTGCTTCAGATACTTTGTAGCATATTAAGCTATTCAAACGGAAGGACTTTCGCTTTCGGCTTTCTTCTTCTCAAGCCTCAGCCAGTCGCCATTTTAAAAACTTTCTTCGCTTTTAAAATCACTTATAGAATTGTTAGAAATACTTGCGATATAGGGTCCCAAGTCCGGATTTCATCCTATTTGTTCAAACAATCTGTTAGATTTCATTAATTGGCTTGGTCCCATCGCCTGGCTCTGCAAGAAGCAGAGTTCCCCCGACGCCCGGAGCAACGGCGAGCTGTATAGGGAGCCACATTCTGCTTCCTCCCCAAGAGTAAAAAAAAACTCTGGGGAGTTCGCAGAGGGCTCTACCTGTCCTCGCCGGCTCTATCTCACGTCTCCTAAGGAGACGGAGTTTTTCGAGCCGTCTCTCAGCTGTAGAGACGGCTCTTTACAGGCGGCGAGGCTGGCGGTCCCAAAAGACCGTCCTCCGGCGGCAGAAACCAAACCGGAAGCCCATTTTTTTTGCAGCCTTCTGACAAGCAAAGTCAACAGAGAAGCCAAGTTCACTTAACAACCGCATTACTAATTTAACTGCAGTGATTCACTTAACAACGGTGGCAAGAGAAGGAAAATGGGGCAACACTCACTTAACAACTCTCTTGCTTAGCCACAGAAATTTTTGGGTTCAAATATGGTCGTAAGTTGAGGAGTCCCTGTGAATTTTTTTCATTTATTTATTTATTTTTAATTTGATTTATATGCCGACCTTCTCCGGAGACTCAGGGCGGCTTACAATGCGTTAAGCAATAGCCTTCATACTTTTGTATATTTATACAAAGTCAGCTTATTTCCCCCACAAACTGGGTCCTCAATTTACCTACCTTAGAAAGGATGGAAGGCCGAGTCAACCTTGAGCCTGGTGAGATTTGAACTTACAGTAATTGCAGACAGCTGATGTTAATCACAATGCTATCAGTCTGCTGAGCCACCAGCTCCGTGGTGCTAAAAGGGAAAGAAAAAGAAGCAGAAGCTGGCCCAAAACCAGGAGCAACTCATGTCAACCTTGCCTGCCTAGCTGCTTTTGGGTTTAACAAATAAGGAGTTAAAACAGGCCATGGTTTGGCGCAGGGGTCAGCAACCTACGGCTCCAGAGCTGCATGCGGCACTTTGGGCCTTCTGCTGTGGCTCCCTGTCAGGTGATCCCACCACTGGCTGGCCCTGCCCCTCACTCTCCCCTCCCAGTCACTCCTTGCCTGGCCTGAGAAGGTAAGGGTGACGGCAGGGGATGGGAGAAGCAGCCAGAGCAGAGACAGAGATACAGAGAGAGGGGAAAAGAGAGAGAGAGAGACATAGATACAGACTGAAATAGGGAGAAAGGGAGGGAGAAGAGAGAGAGACACGTCAAAAGGATTTTGTGGTTCCCCGTGTTTTTTAACTACTGGTTCTCTGCCCTGATGACCAGCTGGGTGGGCGTGGCTAAGGGGGGGGGTCTTGTGACTGGTGGAAGTGAGTGACATCGAGTAGGCCACGCCCACCCTGGTTTGATGGCTCCCAATGTTTTCTAGTGGGAAACGGGTCCAAATGGCTCTTGAGTATTTAAGGTTACAGACCCCTGGTTTGGCGGATGAAGAAGATAGTGCGCTAATAGGGCTTTCTGTGCATCAAGACTGGTTTTCCAAGCCTTATAATAAGTTATATACAATATAACTTTTAAAAGTTATATACAATATAACTTTTTTTAGCAATTCACAAGAATTGCACATGTAAGTAACAAGAATTGCATGTGTCAGAAGAGCATTTTCCCTCCCCAATTAAACTTAATTCCTCTCTTGTCATTTAAGACCAGGGGAAATCAAATGATCCTTTCTATGATGGCCATTAAATGAATCCCCGTGATTTCCAGTCCCAACTGCAGTCAGTAAGCAAGGACTGCCTGCCATCAACGTAATGAAAATAGCATTGTGCCTTTACAATGCAAGCACCGTATCTTGTATATGTACCTGCGATAGGCAGAGCTTGATCACAACGATACAATATTGTCATCATCATTTGTTCCCACCCACCTATTTGGACGAGTGGTTGGTTGCTACCGGTTCGCCCCAGTTCGGACGAACCGGTAGCAAAGGTAAGTGAAACCCACCCCTGATTTGGACCCCTCTGGAGCCAGATTTTGCATTCTAGACCGGGTCCCCAACCCTCCAGGCCGTGGCCCATTACCAGACTCTGGCCTGTTCGGAACCAGACCGCATGAAGGGAGCACTTCAACTTGGCACGAGCGATGGGTTCGAGTGTGCATCAGGCTGCTCCTCTCCCCCTTCCTCCGTCAGGCCAAGCCGTAAAGGTTGAGGACTGCTGGTCTAGAACACAATGATGTTTATTCGCAAATAATGTGTACAGGTAGTCCTCAACGTACGACCACAATTGAGCCCAAAATTTCCGTTGCTAAGACAGACAATTGTTAGGCGACGCTAAAGGTGCTTTTTTTCAAGAGGCAACTGGACTTTTCTATTTTTTCTTTGAAGATGTTTCGCTTCTCAATCAAGAAGCTTCTTATTTATTTATTAGTCCAATTTATATGCTGCCCTTCTCCGTAGACTCAGGGCGGCTTACAATGCATTATAGCAATAGCCTGCATACTTTTTATGTATATACCTGCTTATTAGGGCTTTCGGGGCCCCCTAAGCGGCGTTGTTCTATACAAAGCTGGCTTATTGCCCCCACAATCCAGGTCCTCAATTTACCTACCTCAAAAAGATGGAAGGCTGAGTCAACCTTGAGCCTGGTGAGATTTGAACTCGCACTAATTGCAGGCAGCTAGCAGTGAAGTGCTAGCACTTAACAGCACTTAGTCCGCTGCACCACCGAGGCTCTTAAGCTCCTTTCAGAACTGAGGAAGCTTCTTGGATGAGAAGCAAAACGTCTGCAAAGAAAAAAAAAAAGAAAGTCCAGTTGCCTTTTGATAAAAGCACCTTTAGGACAACCATGACCTGGGTGACTGAGAATCGCCATAGATAAAATTGTTAGGCAAGTTTTGCCCCATATTATGATTTTTCTTCTTAAGTGGATCGCTGCAGTTGTTAAATTAGTAATGGGGTTGTTAAGAGAATCTGGCTTCCCCGTTGACTTTGCTTGTCAGAAAGTCACAAAAAGTAATCACATTTATTTATTTATTTATTGGTTCAATTTATATGCCGTCCTTCTCCGAAGACTCAGGGCAGCTTACAATGCATTAAGCAATAGCCTTCATACTTTTGTATATACCTGCTTAGTAGGGCTTTCGACCGCCCCCAAGTGGTGTTTTTTTTTATACAAAGTCAGCTTATTGCCCCCACAATCCGGGTCCTCATTTTACCTACCTCGGAAGGATGGAAGGCTGAGTCAACCTTGAGCCTGGTGAGATTCGAACTCGCAGTAATTGCAGGCAGTTGGTGCTACTTTAACAGCACTTTAGTCTGCTGTGCCACCAAGGCTCTTTTTGTCACCCCGGGAATTGTCACCCCGAGACAATTCCACCATCATAAATATGAGCCAGTTGCCGAGCATCCAAATTTTGATCATGTGTCCATGAGGATGTCACAATGATTGTAAGTGAAAAACGATCGTAAGTCACTTGTTAAGTACTGTTGTCACTAAGTAAACGTCTTAAGTCAAGGGTTACCTATAATGAGCAAGGAAGATGTCCTTGATGAGGTAATATGCAAGATCATTATCCGGGCAAAAGGGAGAAATTTTTTTAAGTCACTATACATGAGATAACATTTGGAAGAGACTTGAGGAGATGCCTCCCTGATTCACCAGAGAAGAAAAGGAATATTAATATATTCAAACCTGCATGATTCTGCCAATACTCCAAACTCAAGGGGGGGGGGAATCTTTGACTTCCTGTAGAGTTGATTTCCTGGTTTGGTCTACCTAACAGGGCTGACACAACATACAGTAGTGGCCAAAATTGTGGAAATCTTTTGGGGAAAGTGTATTTTTGAGGTTTGATGGCTAATAACACCACTTTGTTTTTTGGAGTTTCAAGATAATCCTATTCCACTGCTGGAAAGGCCTGGGAATAGCCCAGACCTTAACCCAATTGAAAATCTATGGAGCTGACTAAAGAAACTTGTTAGTCAGAAGCGACCCAGCAATAAAACCCAGTTGAGGTCGCAATGGGTCGGACACGACTTCGCAACTAACAACAACAAATTGAAGCAATCATTCAATCTTGGTTTCACATTATAACAGCTGCAGAACTAAAAGACTTGGTTCACTCCATGGGAAGACGTTGTAAGGCTGTAATTCATGCTAAAGGTTACCCAACTAAGTATTAACTGACATGATAATTTTTGTGAATCGTTTTTTTCTATGGTGATCATTTTTGTATATATCATTTTTTCTACGTATTTGACTTTTCTTTATACTATAATTGCTGTTCTAATAGCAAATTCTTCATAAAAGTTATTGCATTACATTCTTGATTAAATTATCTTTCCATTGATATATAATTTTATGGTACTACTCCCCAAAAAAGTCGTGTTATTAGCCAGTTTTAGAAAATACACTTTTCCCAAAAGGTTTCCACAATTTTGGCCACTACTGTAGCTGTCCAAAGTTCTTCTTTGCACCTTTTTTTTCCAGTAGGATAACTCCATCCCTAGGAGGCCATTAAGTCTGAGGACTAAAATTAATTACTGGGCATAAAATTCAGGAGATATAAAGCCGTTGGCAGAGAAAGCGATAAGTAAAATGGCATCACAATGCCAACTCAACTTCTTAAATGCAGTGCCACGCAAGAACAAAAGGACCAAGCTTGCATTATGACATCATAAGGCCTGCCTTGATACCAGACATCATCATGGCTAAGAAGGGATTACACAAGTAAGGAAAGAAAGAAAGAATGCTTGTATTTAACAGTAACCACCTTAACAACTGGCAAGAAAAGTCATAATATGGGGCAAAACTCGCCTAACAAATTTATCTATCGGGATTCTCAGTCATCCAGGTCGTGGTTGTGCCGCTTTTATCAAGAGGCAACTGGATTTCCTTGTTTTTCTTTGAAGATGTTTCACTTCTCATCCAAGAAGCTTCTTCAGCTCTGAAAGAAGCTATATCTTGAGCCTATCTTCTGGAGTGTTGGCTATTCCTGCCAGTTTGCAGATGACACCAAACTGGCAGGAATAGCCAACACTCCAGAAGATAGGCTCAAGATACAGAAAGATCTTGACAGACTTGAACATTGGGTGCTATCGAACAAAATGAAATTCAGTGGTGAAAAAAATAAGGTTCTACATTTAGACAAGAAAAACAAAATGCACAGGTACCGTATATGTGGTACCTTGCTCAATAGTCGTAACTGTGAGAGGGATCTTGGAGTCCTAGTGAACAACCATTTAAATATGAGCCAGCAGTGTGCAGCAGCTGCCAAAAAAGCCAACACAGTTCTAGGCTGCATAAACAGGGATAGAATCAAGATCACGTAAAGTGTTAATACCACTTTATAAAGCCTTGGTAAGGCCACACTTGGAATACTGCAATTTTGGTCGCCACGATGTAAAAAAAGATGTGGAGACTCTAGAAAGAGTGCAGAGAAGAGCAACAAAGATGATTAGGGGACTGGAGGCTAAAGAACGTTGCAGAAACTAGGTATGTCTAGTTTAATGAAAAGAAGGACTAGGGGAGACATGATAGTGTTCCAATATCTCAGACATTGTCACAAAGAAGAGGGAGTCAAACTATTCTCCAAAGCACCTGAAGGTAGGACAAGAAGCAATGAGTGGAAACTAATCAAGGAGAGAAGGACTAAGGAGAAATTTCCTGACAGAACAATTAATCAGTGCAACAACTTGCCTCCAGAAGCTGTGAATGCTCCAACACTGGAAATTTTTAAGAAGATGTTGGATAATCATTTGTCTGAAGTGGTGTAGGGTTTCCTGCCTAAGCAGGGGGTTGGACTAGAAGACCTCCAAGGTCCCTTCCAACTCTGTTATTCTAAAGTGGGATGGTGAGAGAAGAGAATCACCCTGGATTAAGAGTTCCCACAAGCTATAATCACTTGATGTCCTGTCCCAGGCCAGGCGCCCACAAATACACGAAGGGGTAATTTCGTACTCTTTACATAAACAAAGCTTGCAAACTCCACAATTGCAGGAGAGGAACAAATCTCCCCCACACACACTCAAGAGAGTTCAATAAGTTTGGCTTAGAAGAGTTCCAGTTCAAAGCAACACATCAGACGGAATCTGAAGGTTGGAGCTTTTAGCCAATTCATCAGCCGGTCCAGGGTCAGTAATGGTTGTGAGGTATATGTAGGTCTTTGGTTATTCGGGGACCTGCTTAGTAGGGCTTTTGCCCACCCCCCCAAGCGGTGTTCTTTTTTATACAAAGTCAGCTTATTGCCCCCACAAACTGGGTCCTCATTTCACCTACCTTAGAAAGGATGGAAGGCTGAGTCAACCTTGAGCCTTGGCGAGATTCGAACCTGCAGTAAATTGCAGGCAGCTGTGTTAATAACGGTGCTTAGACCACTGTACCAGCAAGGCTAAACATTGATTTATGCCAAGCCAGGAAAGAGGGGAAATCACGAGGTGAGTTACATAAATGCCACCATTAACATCTACACAGGAACATTATCCCTCAGGCTTCTAAGCAGGGCCGGATTTTCCTATAGGCTAACTAGGCTTCAGCCTAGGGCCTCAAGATCAAGAGGGGCCTACATTCAAATTGTTAGCAAAATTAAAATTACACTTTCACTATAGGTGAAAGGGCCTCATAAGTGGAATAGCCTAGGGCCTCTTTTCATCTAAATCCGGCCCTGCTTCTAAGGACTTCAGCACTATTCCAAAGAAACTGGCTCAAAAGGATGCCCCAAAGGTGTGAAGGCAGGGTGTGATAGGAGTTGTAGTATTAAGGCCATTCGGAGAGTAGGAATGGGAAAAATTCAGAGGCATCAGTCCTCTTCCTATCCTGTTGTTTAAGTCTGACTTTCGCTTCTAGTCTGTTCTGTTCTGTTCTGTTCTTATTCTACTCTATTCTATTCTACTTCTTTATTTTCCATTCTTCCTATTTATTTATATTCTTTATATGCCATTCTTTCTATTTGTTTATATTCCTTATATTCCATTCCATTATATTTAGAACATCATAGGGAAGATGATAATGGCTTAATCCTGATTATTGTAGGTAGAGACCCATCATGGCATTTAAATATGTTTTCAAAGGCCTTTCTGGCTGCTCTATCAAGTGCTGGACTGGGCCTTATTTCTTGCTTGCTACTTCCTTTACTCTTGATGGTTGATCCTAAAAGGCAGAAGCTGCTCACAACTTTGATACCTTCATTGTCAGTTCTAAAGAGGTTTGTTCTACCTGCTGTCTTTAGTCAGTCTTCTTCATATTTCACTGATTTGCACAGCTTGTTTTATATGTCTGTTTGTTGTGTGGAAAGAATAGGCCTGACAATTGGCAATTGAAGCACTAATTGCCATCAATTGTCATAAATGCAGATTTGAAAAAAAGAAAGAGTTGAATTGTTTGATAAGCGAGGTATCTGCTCACACTGAAGCTCTTCCCACAGTCCAAACACAGGTTTGGGCTCTCTTTGGTGTGGATCCTTGGATGGTAAATGAGAGATTTGCTTTTTTTGAAGCTCATTCAACACACGGAGCCCTGAAAACTTTCTCTCTGGTGTGGAGTTTCCAAGGAGTTTTAAGACTCGATTTATAGCTGAAAGTTTTCTCACATAAAAAACATTGGATTCTTTTTTTTTTTTTAATGAGAACCTCTCTCATAAAATTATTTATTCTTTTAAGAGAAATTCTTACAACCTTGTCATGTGCTGGGGATGAGATGCCAGTCCATGGTGGACCAAAGACAAGAGAATTAACCATGGATCACAGCAAGTGAGGAGATAAGGTAGTCTTGATTGCTGCAGTTAGTGAATCCCATCAAAAAAAATGCATAAATTTATAGAAGAGAATAATGGAAGGGACCTTGGAGGTCTTGTAGTCCAACCCCCTGCTTAGGTAGGAAACCCTACACCACTTCAGACAAATGGTTATCCAACATCATCTTAAAAATTTCCAGTGTTGGAGCATTCACAATTTATGGAGGCAAGTTGTTCCACTGATTAATTGTTCTGTCAGGAAATTTCTCAGTTCTGGGTTGCTTCTCTCCTTAATTAGTTTCCACCCATTGCTTCTTGTCCTACCCTCAGATGCTTTGGAGAATAGTTTGACTCCCTCTTTGTGGCAACCCCTGAGATATTGGAACACTGTTATCATGTCTCCCCTAGTCCTACTCTTCATTAAATTAGACATACCCAGTTCCTGCAACCATTCTTCATATGTTTTAGCCTCCAGTCCCCTAATCATCTTTGTTGCTCTTCTCTGCACTCTTTCTAGAGTCTCAACATTTTTTTTTAGAGTCTCAATCTTTTTTACATCGTGGCGACCAAAACTGAATGCAGTATTCCAAGTGTGGCCTTTAATTATTTAAATTTAAATTATTTGACATGATATTTCTATGGAAAATAAGCTAATTGTTTCTAGATTGAGGGAAATAGGCAAAAAAAAATCTAATCTAATATGGTATATGAGTAATAATGAAATATCACAGTAAAGAACAAGAATATTATATTTATAGATAAAACAACTGTACATATAGTGACCCTAATTGCACACAATGCAACCTGACATTAACTGAATTTTGGGTCACATGATTGGCAACCTGGTATCCATTTATAATTCACACAAACTGAATATTACATAATTCAAAGTTACATTTCTCATAACCTGTGATGTATGTGCTAAGTAACCAATCTGTACTCCAATTTATCCCAAGTGTGCGATTTATCTCCAATTCAAACAGGTGCATCTTCATTCTATACCTGATCCTATTTTTTACAAACTTCTCTCTAAATCTTCCACTCTCCCTATTGATCAACAAAGATCCAGATCCAATGGGGAAATAAATAGCTAACAACTATTTAAGTATGTAATCCCCTTTTCCATTTACTTTAAATCCCCCTGATAATAAACATTATAAAATAATAAAATTGGAAGATATTAAACATTACCTGAAATAATAACCCCATATATCCCAAAACAAAAATGATAAATCAACAAGAAAAACTTAAATTTGACTTCTTCTTCCTCCTCCTCCTCACCCTTTCTTTTCTCTTTATTACGTAGGTTTAGGTAATAAAGTTCTTTCTTTTAAAAGAACTTTTATTTTAAAGGGATATGGTGGCTAAATGGCTAAGACGCCGAACTTTTTGATCAGAAGGTCAGTGGTTCAGCGGTTCGAATCCCTAGTGCCACGTAACAGAGTGAGCTCCTGTTACTTGTCCCAGCTTCTGCCAACCTAGCAGTTCAAAAGCACATAAAAAATGCAAGTAGTAAAATAGGGACCACTTTGGTGGGAAGGTAACAGCATTCTGTGCGCCTTTGGCATTGAGTCATGCTGGCCACATGACCACAGAGACGTCTTCGACAGCACCGGCTCTTTGGCTTTGAAACAAAGATGAGCACCGCCCCCTAGAGTCGGGAATGACTAGCACGCATGTGCAGGGAAACCTTTACCTTTATAAAGTTCTCTTTATTACCTAGGTAATAAAGTTCCTTCAGAAGAAATCCGAGTGATGCAGGGACTGCAGGACCCTCTTTCAGGGTGACAAACCACACGGGTGTTTGGTGGGGAGAAAATCTGTCCTGAACAATGTGAGAAAAGTGCACTCCAGAGAAATTAAGAACACGCTGTAGGACAATGCAAATATTTTTCTGAAAATTGCACAACAGCTGGAAATGTAAAAAAGTCCCACTCCAGTAGATTATGGACTTTCATGCAGTTCCCATGGAAACAAAACTTCCGTGAAACCTTTAAAAGTTTTACTTTACAATCTTAAAAAGAGAATTTCCTGTCCCAGTTCAGAGCTAGGGACCCAAGTCTCTTCAGGTCTCTTCCCCTGTGAATTCGAGAGGACTGAGGGTGGATAAGGGAGCAAAAGAGACCCGGAGGCTTAAGTGATATCTGAAGGATATTTTCCCCCTCTACCTCACAACCTTTTTTTAAATAATACCAAGCCAGGGAACCTTTTTCTCACTTCACTGCAATTATGAACTGCTTTGTGTTCTTTGAAAAGATTTCTCGCCTTGACTACTGCAATGCTCTCTACATGGGGCTCCCCTTGAAGAGCACCCGGAGGCTCCAGCTGGTCCAGAATGCAGCAGCGCGGGTAGTGATGGGAGCAACATGGCGCTCCCATGTAACACCGCTCCTGTGCGAGCTGCACTAGCTCCCGGTGGTCTTCTGGGTGCGCTTCAAGGTGTTGGTTATCACCTTTAAAGCACTCCATGGCATAGGGCCTAGCTATCTGCGAGCCCGCCTGCTGCTACCGACGACCTCCCATCGACCCATGCGCTCCCACAGAGAGGGCCTTCTCAGGGTGCCATCAGCCAAACAATGTAGGCTGGTGGCCCCCAGGGGGAGGGCCTTCTCTGTGGGGGCTCCCACCCTCTGGAATCAGTTGCCCCCGGAGACAAGGAGAATCCATGACCTCAATGCCTTCCGTCGTTCCCTGAAAACCTATCTTTTTCAACAAGCCGCGTTGGCTTAAGAAGAAATTTTTAAATTCTTTTAATCAGTCTGTGATTTTTTAACTTTCGGGCCAAAATTTATATATATTTTTAAATGTTTTGATATTTGTATTCTATGTTTTTTATCTTGGCTGTACACCGCCCTGAGTCCTCAGGGAGAAGGGCGGTATATAAATTGGAAATTAAATTAAATTAAATTAAATTTCAGGATAAAACGTTTTCTATGCTACAAGGATTTCTAAGGCTCTTCTCTGTGGGGGCTCACAAATGTTTGACAACACTTGTCTCATTTCAAGGAACAGATTTTCCACACACCAAGCTGTGATGCAGTTTGTCACCCGGAAAGAGTGTCCAGTCGTGCAAGCACCTGGAGAGTGTTTTTGGAGGGCATTTTTCCCAGGTAGACATTCCAGAAAAATATTTCCTACACACCAAACCCACAATTCCTTTTTCTTGGGGTTCCTTTGGGGCCTCCAGAGGTCTCAGTGGAGTCAGTACTTTAGAATATTCCAAACATTTATACAATTTCGCCCTTTTGTGAATGCTTCAGGGTTTATCAAGGTTTCCTTACAGGTAGTCCTCCAATGTCCCCCGCAAGTTATGTGACCACATTATGGCAACCAGACGGCTTTTGCAACCAGTTCCATAATCCTGCAGCCATCAGATCACAATTTGCAGGTTTTTTGGCATTTTTGACATAAAATGCAAATTTGGAAGAGTGGCTTTACACTTAGGACTGCTTATTACTTATTGACCACAAAAAAATGTCACAAAATCAGATCTGGTCATATAGGTGCCAAAAAGTATGACTGTATAAATCTATGACTAGGAATCTGTTCCTAATTGCAATCATCAACACCTCTCCTGCGTGAGCTGCACTGGCTCCCAGTGGTCTTCCGGGTGCGCTTCAAGGTGTTGGTTACCACCTTTAAAGCGCTCCATGGCATAGGACCTAGTTATCTTCAAGACTGCCTGCTGCTACCGACAGCCTCCCATCGACCTGTGCGCTCCCACAGAGAGAGCCTCCTCGGGGTGCCATCAGCTAAACAATGTAGGCTGGTGACCCCCAGAGGGAGGGCCTTCTCTGTGGGGGCACCTACCCTCTGGAATCAGCTGCCCCCAGAGATAAGGAGAATCCAAGACCTCGGTGCCTTCTGCCGTGCCCTTCAAACCTTCTTTTTCCAGCAAGCCGGGCTGGCCTAACACTTTTTTTAAAATGTTTTTAATTGTTTGTTATTGTTTTTAATCATGGGGCCAAATTTATATATATCTTTTAAATTGTATTATAATGTTTGTAGTTCATGCTTTTACTTGGCTGTTCACCGCCCTGAGTCCTCAGGGAGAAGGGCGGTATACAAATTTAAAAATAAATAAATAAATAAATAAGTCAAGGACTAGCTGTGCTCTGCAAAATATAACCTACACTCCAGGGGTGGGTTCTACTTACCCTTACTACCGGTTCGCAACGCGATCGCTTCGCGATGGGATCGTTTTACTCGTGCGCACGCCTTGCTTCTGCGCATACGCAGAAGCTTCTGTGCATGCACAGATCACTTCTGATGACATCAGGGTCAGTGGGTGGAGCCTCACACCAGTTTTGCTACCGGTTCTATAGAACCGGTCCGAACCAGGGGCAACCCACCACTGCTACATTCCCCCACACTTGTAACTCAGTGTGTTAAGTTACTACTACTGCTGCTTGTGAGCCAAACCTTCTTAAATTCCTAACATAGATGCACTTTTGTTAGATTATCTACTCTCTATTGTTATTTAAGGTTACTTGACTAGGAAAAACTTTTTCCCCACACCAAACAATTGTAAGATTTTGCTTTTGTCACTGTGTGAAGTTTTTGCTGAATTGCGAGGTGTGACTATTGAAAAGAAGTATTCCCAAAGTTGTTCACAATGGAAAAGATTTATATCTGCTGTGGACTTTCTGGTGCCTTTTTAGCTGTGATTTTCAATGAAAAGATTTCTCGCCCTCTGCACATTTGTAAGGTCACTCTCCTGCATGATTTACAGTGTGCACGCAAACTGCTGAAGGTTGCGCAAAACATTTCCCACACTCCAGACATTTATATGGTTTTTCCCCAGTGTGGATACTCTGATGCTTCAAAAGAGTAACTTTCCGGGAAAAACATTTATCACACTCTGAGCATTTGTGAGGTTTCTCTCCTGTATGGATTTGGCTGTGACTTCTGAGGAGAGATGACCGAGCAAACGATCTCCCACAATCTAAACATTTGTAGTTTTTTTCCCCCGTGTGAATTTTCACATGACTTCTAAGGGCTGATGAGGTACGATAAAATCTTCCACACTCGACGCATTGATATGGCTTCTCCCCTGTGTGAATTTTCTGATGGCTCCAAAGTAGCTCCTTATAACCAAAAGATTTTCCACATTCTACACATCTGTACGGCTTCTCTCCCGTGTGGACTCTCTGATGCCTTCCAAGGTCGCATTTTTGGATAAAACATTTCCCACACTCTACACATTTGTACGGCTTCTCCCCTGTGTGGATTCTCTGATGAATCTGAACACGGTTCTGCGAAATAAAACCTTTTCCACACTCCCCACATTTATAGGGTTTCTCCTCTTTGTGCCATTCCTGATGTCTATGAAGTTCAGAAGAATTTACAAATCGTTTCTCACATTCTGGGCATTCATAGGGTCTCTCTCCGGTGTGAAGCCTCTGATGTTGCAGCAGATTTGATTTCAAGGTAAAACATTTCCCACATTCGAGGCACTTTTCGTTTTTCTCCCCTGTGTGTGTTTTCCAATGATTCTGAAGTGATGAGCTCTCAGTGAAACATTTTCCACACTCAAAGCATTTGTAAGGTTTGATTCCTGCATGGATCTTCTCATGGGCCCAAAGATTTGCCTTCTGAGAAAAGTTCTTCCCACATTCCCAACACTTGTAAGGTTTCTCCCCTGTGTGAATTCTCTTGTGGATTTTAAGACTTCCTATTTGAAGAAAAGATTTCCCACATTCCAGACATTGAAAAGGTTTCTCTCCAGTGTGGATTTTCTGATGAATCACAAGATTACTTTTTTGAGAAAAACATTTATTGCACTCCAAGCATTTATGGGGCTTCTCTCCTGTATGGATTCGGCTGTGACTTCTAAGATTAGATGAATTAGCAAATGTTCTCCCACACTCTAAACATTTGAACTTTTTTTCCCCTGCGTGAAGTTTAACATGACTTTTAAGGGCTGATGCGGTGCAATAAAATTGTCCACATTCGTTGCATTGATATGGCTTCTCCCCTGTGTGGGTTTTATGATGACTCCAAAGGTCTCCATTTCGAGTAAAAGATTTTCCACATTCTACGCATCTGTATGGCTTCTCTCGTGTGTGGAGCCTCTGATGTCTTCCAAGGTTGTGTTTTTCGGAAAAGCATTTCCCACACTCCCCACATTTGTAGGGTTTCTCCCCTGTGTGGATTCTCTCATGATTCTGAACCTCTCTTGGAGTAAGAAAACTTTTCCCCCACTCTCCACATTTATAGGGTTTCTCCTCATTGTGCCCAGTCTGGTGTTTCTGAAGTTCAGAAGAATTTACAAATTGTTTTTCACATTCTGGGCATTCATAGGGTCTCTCTCCAGTGTGAAGTCTCTGATGTTGCAGCAAGTTTGATTTTATGGAAAAACATGTCCCACATTCAAGGCCCTTTTTGTTTTTCTCCCCTGTGTGAATTCTCTTGTGGTTTGCGAGAGTGGCTTCCTCACAGAAAAAGGTCCCACATTCCAGACATTTGTGGTTTTTCGAAGTGCTGCTTGTGTCTGATGGGGCATCCAAGACTTTCCCAGGCTCCATGCTTTCTAGTGGCTGCTGCCTTGGGCTGGATTTCTATTATCTGTTGATAGTTGTCTTGCAGGTAAATCTTTGGTCACAATCTTTTACCCTCTGTTTGAAAAAAAGAAAAGAAATGCAGAATAATATTTTCTTCTGAGAAAAGTGCAGAATCACAAAATCTGAGATTTGGGAGGGACCATGAAAGTCTTTCAGTCCAACCCCGTCCAGCACCTCACAACACTCTAGAAAAAATCTCCAGTGGGCGAGCACCCACATCTCTAGGAGGCAAACTCTTTTGTTACAATAGTTGTTAAGTGACTTTGTGGGTTGTTAAGTGGAGGGAGATCTAGGCAAGAACTGCGTGGGTGCCCTGAAGGGGGTGGGGGAGAACCTGGAGGTTCAGCGCAGGCCACACATGAATTAAAAAGCTGCAGCATGGTGCAAAGCTGCAGCCACTCCCAGAAGCCTCAGCCGCCCCATCTCGGCCCTGCAATGGGGCAGGAATGCCATGGCGGTGCCTTACGTGGAGACCGGGGAGTATAGCCATTTCAGCCATCTGCCACTGACCCCAGGCCTGGACTTCAGCCTAGAGTTACTGCTGCCACCCAGAAATGTGCCCTTAATCTGCAGACCAGTGGCCTTTGCAGCCTTATGCCATTTTCCAAGCCACATGTTCCATACCATTTCTAAGCAACATGGACCAAAGCATCCCTAAGCTTCTCCAGGACTCCCTCAAGTCAAACGTGGCCAACACTTGGGCTCCAATGGCTTCCCCTGCCCACCCACCCCCGAAGCAAACCTTCTTATCTGGGGCTCCATCCACTTAATGACCAGTGAAATCATTTAATAACTGCAATAGTGAATGCAGAATTATAATTCTTGACCAAAGCAGTCAAGTGATATCTCACATAATGACCACTTGGCTAAACAAGCGAGATTCTAATCCCAATTGTAGTCGTAAATCGAGGACTACCTTCAGGCAACGTAAAAGTTTAAGGCATCGCACAAGCAAAAGTGGAGGAGAGAGAGTTGAGGTTAGTGTTAAGCATCCCTTTTCTTCTCCCCTTTTCTTGCTTTTTCTGAGAAGGAAGGAAGGAGGGAGGGAGGGAGGAAGAAGAAAAAGAGAGAGAGACAGAAAAAAAAGAGAAACGAAGGAAGGAAGGAAGGAAGGAAGGAAGGAAGGAAGGAAGGAAGGAAAGAAAGAAAGAAAGAAAGAAAGAAAGAGAAAGAAAGAAAGAAAGAAAGAAAGAAAGAAAGAAAGAAAGAAAGAAAGAAAGAAAGAAAGAAAGAAAGAAAGAAAGAAAGAAAGAAAGAAAGAAAGAGAAAGTTCAAATCCACCTTCAGCTATAGAGAGCTTTACTAGGTGGCTCAGTTTACACTTGGGGAGGATAATATATTTTAAGCATAAGAAAAAGATATGAGAAAGGATTGTTTTGGCTGAATGGACTGCTGCTTTTATGCATTTCCTCCCCCCCCCCCTCTTCACCTCAAACTCATGAGGAGGGGCAGGACTGGTTGAAAGAAAAATAAAATAAGGCTTCAACAGCTAAAATAAAATGGCCATAAGAAAACTAAAGGCGGCCTTGCCCCCTTCCTGAAAGGAAAAAAAAACAAAACCCAATATTGTAAAGCCGATCCACACTTAGTAGACACTGAACACCCCAGGGAAGTTTTAATCCTGCAAGAGGGGGGTGGGCGGAATGCGGGGAAGGGGGGAGGCAGCAATCAAATTGAAAACGAGAACGGTGGGGAGGACGGGGAGGCTAAGCTGCTCCCACCCCACCCACCCACCCCCCACGGCATGGAAAAAGGGGAGACCACAGGGACCCTCTTGCTTGTTCTGTAAAGGCGGGGCCCCCCTCACCCCATTTTTTTATCTGCAGGAACGGCTCGGATCTTTTTTGGGTGGGGGGGGCTTCCCAGCGCCCTTCCTCCCTCCCTGATCCTCTGCAGCGTCGCTTTGCCCAAATGCACAAGGCGGGTGGAAGGAACCCCACCAGCGGGTGTTTCCCCCCCCCCCCCTTAAACGGCCCGACCCCCCCCACCCACCCCACTACACACAACACATGCACACCAAAAAGGCCCGGAGGGAGAGCAGGGTCCATCTCAGCCCCTTTCTGCCAACGCCGTTGCAAACGTCCCGGCCCGGGACCATTCAGACGACACTTGGAATGGGAGGAGCATTTTTGGCTTTCCTTTCTTTCCCTCCCACCCCCACCCAGTCCCCAAACTCCAACCCCAAATTTTTCTTCCGCTCTAGGAATCCATCGCCTCTAACTTAACTCCTTCGAAGACAGGAGCAAGAAGAAGGTTGATGAAAAAGGGGAGGGGGGGGGGCAAGCAGGACCTAAGACCGGACAGAGGCACCTGGTTTGTGGGAAGCTCTAATCCAGTGGTTCTCAACCTGTGGGTCGGGACCCCTTTGGGGGTCGAACGACCCTTTCACAGGGGTCGCCTAAGACCATTGGAAAACACATATTTTCAATGGTTTTAGGAATAATTTTATGGTTGGGGGTCACCACAACATGAGGAACTGTATTAAAGGGTCGCGGCATTAGGAAGGTTGAGAACCACTGCTCTAATCAGATTTGGGGGTTGAATGCACCAGGCTACTCTAGGGCACTGTGTCTGAAACTTGCCATCTTTTAAGAGATATGTGAACTTCAACTCCCAGAATTCCCCAGTCAGCCTGGGGCATTCTGGGAGATGAAGTTCAGCTGTCTTAAGGTGGACAATGGTCTCTATGACAACCCAGGAAACAGGGCAATTCACAAGACCAGTTACGCAGGAATGCCATCCTTAACATCCCTACACGGACATTATCCCTCAGGCTTCTAAGGAATCAACACCATTCCAAAAGAACTGGCTTGAAAGTGTACCCCAAGCATGTGAAGGCAGGGTGTGATGGGAGTTGAAGTCATCCAGAGAACAGGAATGGGGAAAGTTCAGAGGCATCAGTCCTCCTCCTATCCTGCTTGTTTAAGTCCAACTTTTGCTTGCATTATATTTATTATTTATTTATTTATTTATTTATTACATGTATTTATATGCCACCATTCTCCCGAAGGACTCAGGGCGGCGAACACAATTTAAGAAACAAGTACAATAAAGTCATAATTTAATTATATTCCATTCTTTCTATTCTATATTCTTCATATACTTTATATTCCATTTTCTCTTCTGTTCTACTCTATTCTGCTCATAGAACATCATAGGGAAGATGATCATGGCTTACATAATTCTAATTATCGTAGTAAGAGACCCATCGTGGCATTTAAATACGATTTCAAAGGTCTTTCTGGCTGGACTATGGCTTATTTCTTGATTGCTACTTCCTTTACTCTTGATGGTTGATCCTAAAAGGCAGAAACTGCTCATTGTCAGTTCTAAAGGGGTTTGTTATACCTATTGCCGTTAGTCGGGCTTTACATTTAATTCTGGGCCCCACCGATTTGTACACCTTATTTTATATGCCTGTTTGGTGTTTGGAAAGAATAGGCCTGACAGTTGGCAATTGAAGCAATAACCGTCATCGAAATAAGGAAAAATTAAATGCAGATTTGGAAAATAATATATAAACCGTTGAACTGTTTCTCCCTGGTGTGACTTGTTTGACAGGCCAAACACTGGTACGGTCGCTCTCTCTGGTGTGTATCCTCTGATAGCAATAGAAGTTAGATTTATATACCGCTTCACAGTGCTTTACAGCTCTCTCTGAGCAGTTTACAGAGTCAGCATATTTCCCCCCACAATCTCAGTCCTCATTTTACCCACCTGGGAAGGATGGAAGGCTGAGTCAACCTTGAGCCGGTCAGGGTCAAACTCCTGGCTGCAGGCAGAGTTACCCTGCAATACAGTCTTGTAACCATTGCACCAATACAACTCTGAACTGAAGGTCTGTTACCCAAACAATATACAAGCATCCAATTGGACATAAACTGATAACAGGGAGATGTCCAGGGAGAAGAGAAGAAAAATTGTGCGTGAAAATATCAGATCCAGCTTTGCTACTTCTGTAACGACTTCGGCTTTAGTGAAGTTTAATTTTGGCTGAACAATGGGCCAGGAGTGTTTTTCTTTGCTGGATGACCGAGTTGGGAAGGTTGACATTAGCACTGAAAGGGTTTCTCTCCACTGTGGAGTTTCCACTGACGTTTAAGATTAGATTTTTAGCTGTTAAGTTTTCTCACACACAAAAAAATGGATTTTTTTTCTCTTTTATTTATGAGAACCTCTGGAGATGCCAATTCCTGCAACTTTGTCATGGGCTGGGGATGAGATGTGAGTTCATGGAGGACACAGGAGAAGAGAATTAACCACAGTTCAGGGCAAGCGAGAAGTTAAGTTAGGTCCCATTTAGTGAGGTTCATGAATCCCACAAAAATATCCCATTCAATTTCTACAGGTACTCAACAAAAGTTCATTTAGTGACCATTACAAGTTACAAGGGCCCTGAAAAATGTGACTTATGACCGTTTTCTCACTTGCAACCACTGCAGCGTCTCCATGGTCGCATGATCAAAATTCAGATGCTTGACAACTAGTTTTATCACAGTTGCAGTGTCTCTGGATCATGAGATCCCTTTTGTGACCTTCTGACAAGCAAAGTCAATGGGGAAGCCAGATTCACTTAGTAACCGTGTTACTAACTTAACAATTGCAATGGTCCACTTAACAAGAGTTACGACAAGAAAAGTCGTAAAATGGGGCAATTTAATGCAATATGGTATATGAATAATGAAATATCACAATAAAGAAGAAACTGAATATTACGTAATTCAAAGTTAACACATCTCATAACCTGCGATGCATGTGCTAAGTTACCTGTGCTCCAATTAATCCTGAGTGTCTGATTTATCACGGTCTCTCCAATTACAAACAGGTGCATTTTCATTGTATATCTGATCCCATTTTTTACAAACTTATCTTTAAATCTTCAGCTCTCCTATTGATCAACAAAGATCCAATGGACAAAAATACCTAACGCCTTAAGTATATAAACCCCCTTTCCATTTAGCTTAAATCCTCCTAACAACAAAATAATTACAAAACAATAGTAATAACATTGGAAATTCTTAAACATTTTCTGAAATTATAGATTTTATATTTAAAATGAAAACAAAAATAAGTTACCAAGAAATATTTGATTTGATTAGCACATACTGATCAAAAACTTTTCTCTTCAGTAATAGGAGGATGTTCTTCTTGAAAATTATGCTTAAATTTAAGGTTATGTGACTAGGGCTTCTCTCCTATATGGATTTGGCTGTGACTTCTAAGGGAACATGAATGAGCAAATGTTCTCCCACATTCTAAACATTCGAAATTTTGTTCCCCATGTGAAGTTTTGCATGTTTTTTAAGGGTTGTTAGGGAACGATAAAATTGTCCACACTCATTGCACTGAAAGGGCTTTTCCCCTGTGTGGGTTTTATAATGTACCCAAAGGTATCCCTTTTGAGCAAAACATTTTCCACATTCTCCGCATCTGTATGGCTTCTCTCCTGTATGGACACTCTGATGCCTGGCAAGGTTGTATTTATCGGGAAAGCACATCCCACACTTCACACATTTGAATGGCTTCTCCCCTGTATGGATTCTCTCATGACTCTCAAGCTTCCTTCGTTCAAGAAAACCTTTCCCACACTCCCCACATTTATATGGTTTCTCGTCTTTGTGCCCTATTTGGTGTTTCCGAAGATCAGAAGAAGTTAGGAATCGTTTCTCACATTCTGAGCATTCATAGGGTCTCATTCCGGTGTGGAGTCTCTGATGTTTCAGCAGGTTTGATTTCAAGATAAAACATTTCCCGCATTCGAGGCACTTTTCGTTTTTCTCTCCTTTGTGTGTTTTCTCATGACTCCGAAGAGATGAAATCTGTGTGAAACATTTTCCACACTCCAAGCATTTGTGAGGTTTGATTCCTGCATGAATCAGCTCATGGACACCAAGATTTGCCTTATGAGAAAAGCTCTTTCCACATTCCGAACACTTGTAAGGTTTCTCCCCTGTGTGAGTCCTCTCATGCTTTATGAGAGTGGCTTTTTCACGGAAAAACGTCCCACATTCCAGACATTGATAAGGTTTCTCTCCAGTGTGGATTTTCTGATGGGTAAGAAGGTATGACGATCGACCAAAGCATAACTCGCATTCATCACATTTATAGGGTTTTAGTCTGGAGGGGCTACCGAGATCTTTGGAGTTTTTTCCAAGGAAGGCTTTCTCACACTCCAAACCTTGACTGGACCCACTTCCGAAATGGATCTTCCTGTGGGTCAAAAGGAGGGACCGGCCAGCAAAGGATTTACCATACTCTGAGCATTCGTGTGTTTTTTGGTGGTTTTTTGGAATGCTGCTTGCGTCTGATGGGGCATCCAAGAGTTTCCCAGGCTCCATCCTTTCTGGCGGCTGCTGCCTTTGGCTGAATTTCTATTTTCTGTTGAGAGTTGTAAATCTTTTACCCTGTTAGAAAAAAAAGAATTGCAGAATAATATTTCCTATTGAGAAAGGTAGTGATTCACAAAATCTGAGACTTGGGAGGGATCAGGCAGGTCTCCCAATCCAACCCCCTTGTCCAGCACCTCAGGACACTCTAGACAAATTCTCCAGTCAGAGAGCCCCCACATCACTAGAATGGAAACTAGTGGTGGAATTCAATTTTTTTACTACCGGTTCTGTGGGCATGGCTTGGTGGGCGTGGCAGGGGAAGGATACTGAAAAATCTCCATTCCCACCCCACTCTGGAGCCAGCCAGAGGTGGTATTTGCTTGTTCTCTGAACTACTCAAATTTTCCGCTACCAGTTCTCCAGAACCTGTCAGAACCTGCTGAATAGCACCCTGAGGGAAACTCAGTTTTTATACTAGTTGTTAGTCCTACAATGGGGCAGAAATGCCAGGACAGTGCCTTAAGTGGAGGACTGGGGACTTCAGCCGTTTCTGCCAGTGCCAATGACGCCAGGCCCAGTTTCACCGCTGCCACCGAGAAATGCAGCCTTAATTTCTGAGACTGGAGTCCTTTGCAGCCTTGCGCCATTCTCCCATCTGCATGTTCCATACAGTTTCTACGCAATGTGGACCAAAACATCTCTAAGCTTCTCCAGGATGCCCTCAAGTCAAACGTGGCCAACGCTGGAACTCCAATGGCCTCCCCTGCCCCCCGCCCTCAGAAACCTGTGCTTGTTACCTGGGACTCTGTGAACATAATGACCGATGAAATCAGTTAATAATCGCAACAGTGAGTGGAGAATTACAATTCTTGAACAAAGCGATCTCATGGTATCTTACGTAATGACCACTTTGCTAAACTAGCAAGACTGCCATCCCAATTGTAGTCGTAAATCGAGGACTACCTTCAGACAACGCGCATGCTCTTGGAAAGCAACCCCCACCTTTCTTAATAGCCCTCAGCAGATGTCAGCCCTTAAGAGGTAAATTCCCTGCAGCAAGATCTGAACAAATGTAGGGTTAGCCCTCAACCATAATAGGAATTGCCCAACACCCTTTCCGAATATACGGTCCTTCATTGCATCACCCCAGTTGCACCACACCCTCCAAACTTCAACCAAACCTGGGACCACAGACAACCTACAGAGCCAGCTGTGACCCCTACAACAGCCAGTAGAATACATGTTCTTGCACAGGAACAGGAAGCTCAAGGACAAAGCCCAAGAGAAAGTATAAAAACCCCTCATTCTGAACTCCATGTGGTCAGCTGCCTAGAATCACTCATATGCTTCTGCTTCATCAATAAATGGACGCTCTTGTCAATCAGCCTCCAGCCTCCATTTTGTCTCCAGTGCTTTTCTCCCAGCTTGGAACTGAACCAGATAGATATTTCTATGGATGGATGGATGGGTGGAAGTTCAAAGAAGTTCAAATACACCTTCAGTTATAGAAACAGTGTTACTGGGGCAGGATCCAGCCTGCCTACCTTGCAGGTTTACACTTGGGGAGGGTAATAAATTAAGTATAAGGAAAAAAAGATATGAGAAAGGATTGTTTTGGCTTAATGGACTTTTATGAATTTCCCTTCCCCCCTCACCTAGAACTCATGAGGAGCAAGATGGGTTAAAAAAAAAGAAATAATGCTCCAACAGCTAAAATACACAGGCGATAAGAAAACTAAAGGCAGCTTTGCCACTTTTTGAAAGAAAAGCACCCAATAAAGCCGATCCACACCTAGTAAGACACTGAATAGACCCTGGAAGTTTTAACTTTGTGTGGAAAACCCACCCGTCCCAGAAGAATGAAATATATTAGGAAGTATTAAAAAAGACAGAATATTATATTTCCCTAAAGAAGAAATGGGGAAACATGCTCTTCAAAGACAGAAAGCAGCCCCCATTTTTTCTTCCGAGCTCACAGCAGCTGCCAACCTTTTTTTTATATAAATTAATAAATTTTATTATTTTTTTTTCAAGTTAAAATCAACACAAGACAAAAACATTGTTTATACATACAAACAAAAACCATACATTCCCCTCCCTCCCCCATTCAACACGTCTATCCTGGCAGATAATATTCCTGCCCTCATTAGTAGATAATTATGCCCACAACACAGAATAAGGTAAGTAATCCCCAAATGTGATTTTCATACAATTATCTCTCAATCTAAATAAGTGTATCTCTCTTCGTATTAACATAGGCCCTCACTTCGTCTCAATTAGTTTATTCAACCACCGAAGGGCCATAGTTTGAGGACCCCTGATTTAGTGCAATAATTTTTCTGCGGACCACAAAGTATCAAACCCACCCATCTCAGAAGAATGAAACATATTAGGAAACATTAAAAAAGGCAGAATATTATATTTTCCTAAAGAAGAAATGGGGAAACATGCTCTTCAAAGACAGAAAGCAGCCCCCATTTTTTTCTTCCAAGCTCACAGCAGCTGCCAACCTTTAAGAAGATAAAGAGCTTATTGAAAGAAGCAGCAGCCAGCTATCCAGAATGGCTCTATTCATATGCAAAGCATATACTGCAGGCAGAAATGAATTCAAGGCAGGGTATTTTCTGCTTGCAGCCGACAAAAGCAGAATGGTAGGATTAGCACAGCAGCCCCTCACCCCAAGATCCAGCACTGGAAGAAAGCCCTTAGCCACAATAGGAACTGCCCAAACGCCCTTTCAGAACACAACCCCCTTCATTGCACACAAACACAGCAATGTGTTTTCAGGACCTGTGTTATTCAGGACCTGTATAAAAAATCCTGGCACTCATCTACCTAGTTGTGCAGCTGACCCAGAATTGCAGGCTGTCTTTGTGTCTGTTTCTCTTCAATAAACTTTCTTTCCAATCAGCCTCCAAGTTGTTTGCAGGGTCTTTCTCCCACCTTAGAACTGAACCACATGGATTTGGTTATACCTGTTTTAACCTTGCAAAGGGCGGGGGGGGGCTGCATGGGAGGGGAAAGGAAAGGCAGTAATGAAACTGAAAGGCAGAACGATGGAGAGGGAGGGGGACTAAATTGCTCCCCCCCCCGGCATGGAAAAGGGGAGACCACGGGGACCCTCCTGCTTGTTCTGCAAAGGCGCCCCCCCCCACCCAATGTTTTATCTGCAGGAACGGCTCGGATCTTTTTTGGGGAGGGGGCTTCCCAGCGCTCTTCCTCCCTCCCTGATCCTCTGCAGCTTCGCTTTGCCCAAATGTACAAGACAGGTGGAAGGAACCCACCAGCAGGTGTTTCTTCCCCCCCCCCAGTGAAGTGGGGACCCCAAGGGCCTGATCCAGGGCCGGATTTAGATGAAAAGAGGCCCTAGGCTATTCCACTTATGAGGCCCTTTCACCTATAGTGAAAGTGTAATTTTAATTTTGCTAACAATTTGAATGTAGGCCCCTCTTGATTTTGAGGCCCTAGGCTGAAGCCTAGTTAGCCTATAGGAAAATCCAGCCCTGGCCTGATCACCCCACCAGGCACCTTTCCTCCCCCCCACATACAGCCCACCATGCACCAGAAAGGCCGGGAGGGAGGGAGAGCAGGGTCGATCTCAGCCCCTTCTGCAAAAGCCTCTGCCAGCGTCCAAACATGCAACATTCAGAGGACACCGAGAATGCGAGGAGGCTTTGGAACTCTCTTCTTTCTTCCTCCGCCAAACTCCATCCCCAAATTTTCTTTCACTCTAGGAATCCATCGCCTCTACTTAACTCCTTCGAAGACAGGAGCAAGGAGGAGGTTGATGAAAAAGGGGAGGGAGGGAGGGACAAGCAGGATTCCCACTAGGTCTGTAAACACCCACACACAGAGGTGACCTAAGACCGGACAGAGGCACCTGGTTTGTGGGAAGCTCTAATCAGATTTGGGGGTTGAATGCATCAAGCTAATCTAGGGCAGTGTCTGAAACTTGGCATCTCTTAAGAGATATGTGAACTTCAACTCCCAGAATTCCCCAGTCAGCATGGGGCATTCTGGGAGTTGCAGTTCAGGTGTCTTAAGGTTGAGAATGGTCTCTATGCCAACCCAGGAAACAGGGCAATTCACAAGGCCAGTTACAGGAATACCACCATTAACATCCCTACAGGGATATTATGCCTCAGGCTTCTAAGCACTTCACCACTACCCCAAAGAAACTGGCTCTAAAGCGTGCCCCGAACATTTGAAGGCAGGGCATTCTGGGAGTTAAAGTTCAGGTATCTTAAGGTGGAGAATGGTCTCTATGCCAACCCAGGAAACAGGGCAATTCACAAGGCCAGTTACAAGAATGCCACAATTAACATCCCTATAGAGACATTATCCCTCAGGGTTCCAAGGACTTCACCACTACCCCAAAGAAACTGGCTCAAAAGGGTGCCCCAAATATGTGCAGGCAGGGTGTGATGGGAGTTGTAGTATTAGGGCCATCCAGAGAACAGGAATGGGGAAAGTTCAGAGGCATCAGTCCTCATCCTATCCTGCTTGCTTAAGTCCAACTTTGGCTTCTATTCTGTTCCATTCTATTCTATTCTTTACATACTTTATATTCCATTTTTTTCTTTTCTTTCTAGTCTTCGCTTTGCCTATTCTATTTTCTATACCTTATATTTCATTTTTTTACAATCCATTCTGTTCTCTTCATACATCCTAGGGAAGATGATCATGGTTTACATAATTCTAATTATTGTAGTAAGAGACCCCACATGGCATTTAAATGTTTTTAAAGGCCCTTAATGCTGCTCTACCAAGTGCTGGACTGGGACTTATTATTCGATTGTTACTTCCTTTTCTCCTGATGGTTGACCCTAAAAGGCAGAGGGTGCTCACAACTTTGATATCTTCATTGTCAGTTCTAAAGGGGTTTATTCTACCTGTAGTCGTTAGTCTTTTTTATATTTAATTCTAGACCCACTGATTTGCAGAGTTTGTTATATTTGCCTGTTTAATGTCCAAAAAGAATAGGCATGACAGTTGGCAATTGAAGCAATAATTGTCATGGGCTGGGGATGAGATGCCAGTTCATGGAGGACACAAGAGAAGAGAATTAAACACATTCCAGGGCAAGCGAGGAGTTAAGTTAGGTCTCGTTTAGTGAGTTTCATGAATCCCACAAAAATATCCCATTCAATTTCTACAGGTACTCCTCAACTTACAACAGTTTGTTTAGTGACCATTACAAGTTACAATGGCACCAAAAAATGTGACTTATGACCGTTTTCTCACTTACAACCACTGCAGCATCTCCATAGTCGCAGGATCAAAATTCAGATGCTTGGCAACTAATTTATTTATTTATTATTTATTATTTAAATTTCTATACCGCCCTTCTCCTTTCGGACTCAGGGCGGTGAACAGCCAAAAATAAAACATTTATAATTCATGTTTTATCAGTTGCAGTGGTTCTGGCTCATGAAATCTCTTCAATGGGGAAGCCAGATTCAATTAATAACTGTGTTAGTAACTTAACAATTGCAATGGTTCATTTAACAAGAATGTGAAGAAAATTCGTAAAATGGGGGAAAATTCACTTAAAAAATGTTTCACTTAGCAACATAAATTTTGGACACAATTGTAGTTGTAACTCAAGGACTACCTGTACCATCAAGTGATATCTCGATGGAAAATAAGGTAATTGTTTCTATTGTATTCTATTCTAATTGACGGAAATAGGCAAGAAAAATATTTAATGCAGTATGGTATATGAATAATGAAATATCACAGTAAAGAAGAACAAGAATATGCTTTAAAAATTTAAATTTATAGATAAAAAAACTGCACATATGGTAACCTTAATTGCACATATTGTAACCTGACATTAAGTGAATTTTGGATCACATAATAAGGAACCTGGTATCCATTTACAATTCACACTAATCTAATTACGTAATTCAAAGTTAACATATTCTTACAACCTGCGATGTATGTGTTAAGTTACCTGCGCTCCAATTAATCCTGAGTGATTTATCACTGTCTCTCCAATTGGAAACAGGGGCATATTCATTGTATATCTGATCCTATTTTTTACAAACTTATTTTAAAATCTTCAGCTGTCCTATTGATCAACAAAGATCCAGATCCAATGGACAAAAATAGCTAACGACATAAGTATATAATCCCCCTTTCCATTTATCTTAAATCCCCCTAACTAAACAAAATAATTACAAAACAATAGTAATAAAATTGGAAGCCATTATACAATTCCTGAAATAACTTTATATCTTGAAAACAAGTTATTCTTGTTATATTGAACATAAAGTTATCTTCAATAACTTGAAAACAAAAATAAAAGGTTAACGAGAAAGATTTGATTTGACTAGATAGAACATACTGATCGAAAACTTTTATCTTCAGTCATACTGGGGGAGGGGGGGTTCTTGAAAATTATGCTTAAGTTTAAGGTTATAGGACTAGGGCTTCTCTCCTGTATGGATTTGGCTGTCACTTCTAAGGGAACATGAATGAGCAAATGTTCTCCCACACTCTTAAACATTTGTAATTTTGTTCCCCGTGTGCAGTTTTGCATGTTTTTTAAGGGTTGTTAGGGTACGATAAAATTGTCCACACTCATTGCACTGAAAGGGCTTCTCCCCTGTGTGGGTTTTATAATGTACTGAAAGGTATCCCTTTTGAGCAAAACATTTTCCACATTCTCCGCATCTGTATGGCTTCTCTCCTGTGTGGACCCTCTGATGCCTTGCAAGGTTGTATTTATCAGAAAAGCACATCCCACACTCCACACATTTGAAAGGCTTCTCCCCTGTATGGATTCTCTCATGACTCTCAAGCTTCCTTCGTTCAAGGAAACCTTTCCCACACTCCCCACATTTAAACGGTTTCTCGTCTTTGTGCCCTATTTGGTGTTTCCGAAGATCAGAAGAAGTTAGAAATCGTTTCTCACATTCTGAGCATTCATAGGGTCTCATTCCGGTGTGGAGTCTCTGATGTTGCAGCAGGTTTGATTTCAAGATAAAACATTTCCCACATTCGAGGCACTTTTCGTTTTTCTCCCCTCTGTGTGTTTTCTCATGACTCCGAAGAGATGAAATCTGTGTGAAACATTTTCCGCACTCCAAGCATTTGTGAGGTTTGATTCCTGCATGAATCTGCTCATGGACACAAAGATTTATCTTCTGGGAAAAGCTCTTTCCACAGTGTCCACAGCTGTAAGGTTTTTCCCCTGTGTGAGTCCTCTCGTGCTTTATGAGAGTGGCTTTTTCACGGAAAAACGTCCCACATTCCAGACACTGATAAGGTTTCTCTCCAGTGTGGATTTTCTGATGGGTAAGAAGGTATGACGATCGACCAAAGCATAAGTCGCATTCATCACATTTATAAGGTTTTAGTCTGGGGGGGCTCCTGAGATCTTTGGAGTTTTCTCCAGGGGAGGATTTCTGACCCTCCAAACCTTGACTGGATCCACATCCCACATGGATCTTCCTGTGGGTCAAAAGGAGGGACCGGCCAGCAAAGGATTTCCCACACTCTGAGCATTCATGTGGTTTTTTGTAATTTTTTGAAGTGCTGCTTGTGTCTGATGAGGCATCCAAGAGTTTCCCAGGCTCCATGTTTTGTGGCGGCTGCTGCCTTGGGCTGAATTTCTATTTTCTGTTGAGAGTTGTCTTGCAGGTAAATCTTTGGTCAAAATCTTTTACCCTGTTTGTTAGGAAAAAAAAAAGAAATGCAGAATAATATTTCCTTTTGAGAAAGGTAGAGGTTCCCAATATCTGAGACTTGGGAGGGATCAGGCAGGTCTCCCAATCCAGGGGTCACCAACCTTTCAGACCTCAGGGACCACTACATTCATATTTTTTATTCCCGCGGACCACTAATATGATCTGCCTAATGACCGCCTGGGTGGGTTTGGCTAGGTAGTCATGTGACTGGGTGGGCATGGTCAACTCGATGTCACTCACGTTGATGGGCGCCTCGCAGGCCTCTACTCACTCCTCCCCTCCCAGCTCCTCCTTGCCTGCCCGCCCAGGCTCCTTAGTGCCGCACAGGAAGCAATTGTTGGAGCTAAGCAGCCACCATGAGAAAGAGTTGGCAAAACAGGTTAGTTCAAATTGGTTGTAACCAAGAAGGAGGCTCAGCAGAAGCATAGGCGTTCCAAGCAGAGGGAAGAGCTGCAGGAGTACAAGGCCAGGTACAGACGGCTGGAGGCTCAGCGGGCTGAGATGGTCAGCCAATTCCAGGCCATGATGCAGTCCCACTGGAACGAGGCCCTCGGGCTCTTCGACACCAGCGGCACTTCCCTCCAGCCTTCACCCAAAGCCCCACATCAGGAAGCTGAAGCAGACCCCAAGTCAGAATTTCTGTCCCCCTCCGACCCGCACAAAAAGATCCAGAAGGGAGAGATTCTCTGCAGCAAGAGAAATGTTCATTGCACGTATCCGGCCTAGGGACCATAGTTTGAGGACCTCTGATTTAGTGCAATAATTTTTCTGCGGACCACCAAGTATCAAACCCACCCATCCCAGAAGAATGAAACATATTAGGAAGCATTAAAAAAAGGCAGAATATTCTATTTCCCTAAAGAAAAAATGGGGAAACATGCTCTTCAAAGACAGAAAGGAGCCCCCATTTTTTTTTTCTTCAGAGCTCACAGCAGCTGCCAACCCTTAAGGAGATAAAGAGCTTATTGAAAGAAGCAGCAGCCAGCTATCCAGAATGGCTCTATTCATATGCAAAGCATATACTGCAGGCAGAAATGAATTCAAGGCAGGGTATTTTCTGCTTGCAGCCGACAAAAGCAGAATGGTAGGATTAGCACAGCAGCCCCTCACCCCAAGATCCAGCACTGGAAGAAAGCCCTTAGCCACAATAGGAACTGCCCAAACGCCCTTTCAGAACACAACCCCCTTCATTGCACACAAACACAGCAATGTGTTTTCAGGACCTGTGTTATTCAGGACCTGTATAAAAAATCCTGGCACTCATCTACCTAGTTGTGCAGCTGACCCAGAATTGCAGGCTGTCTTTGTGTCTGTTTCTCTTCAATAAACTTTCTTTCCAATCAGCCTCCATGTTGTTTGCAGCGTCTTTCTCCCACCTTAGAACTGAACCACATGGATTTGCCTTCCAACGCCTAGAGTAAGGCATTGAATACACCTTCACCAAGTTTTCACCTTGCATAGAGCGCGAGGGGAGGTGGGGGGGGGAGCAAAGGCAGCAATAAAACTGAAAGGCAGAACGGGGGGGGGGGGGGGGGGGGGGGGGCTAAGCTGCTCCCCCCCCACGGCATGGAAAAAGGGGAGACCACAGGGACCCTCTTGCTTGTTCTGCAAAGGCGGGCCCTCCTCACCCCATTTTTTTTATCTGCAGGAACGGCTCGGATCTTTTTTGGGGGGGGGGGGCTTCCCAGCGCCCTTCCTCCCTCCCTGATCCTCTGCAGCGTCGCTTTGCCCAAATGCACAAGGAGGGTGGAAGGAACCCCACCAGCGGGTGTTTCTTCCCCCCTCCCCAGTGAAGTGGGCCTGATCACCCCAAACTTCCCCCCCCAAACCCCCTCCCCCCCCCCCCCCCACACCATCACGCACCAGAAAGCCCCGGAGGGAGGGAGGGAGAGCAGGGTGGATCTCAGCCCCTTCTGCAAATATCCCGAACAGGCAGCATTCAGAGGACACCGGGAATGGGAGGAGCCTTTGGCGCTCTCTTCTTTGCCCCGCCCCCAAACTCCAACCCCAAATTTTTTTTCTTCCGCTCTAGGAATCCATCGCCTCTAACTTAACTCCTTCGAAGACAGGAGCAAGAAGAAGGTTGATGAAATAGGGAGGGGAAAGGGGAGGGAGGGGCAAGCAGAACACGCAGCACATCTGAACCCCCCCCACACACACACACAGGTGATCTAAGGCCGGACAGAAGCACTCTGTTTGTGGGAAGCTGGAACCAGATTTGGGGGTTGAATGCACCAGGCTAATCTAGGGCACTGTGTCTGAAACTTGGCATCTTTTAAGATATATGTGAACTTCAACTCCCAGAATTCCCCAGTCAGCATAGGGCATTCTGGGAATTGAAGTTCAGGTATCTTTAAGGTGGTGAATGGTCTCTATGCCAACCCAGGAAACAGGGCAATTCACAAGGCCAGTTACAGGAATACCACCATTAACATCCCTATAGAGACATTATCCCTCAGGCTTCTATGGACTTCACCACTACCCCAAAGAAACTGGCTGTAAAGGAGCAAGAAGAAGGCTGACAAAATAGGGAGGGAAAAGGGGAGGGAGGGGCAAGCAGAAAACGCAGCACATCTGAACCCCCCCCCCCCCCCACACAGGTGAACTAAGGCCGGGCAGAGGCACCTGGCCCTGGTTGGTACGAAGCTGTAACCAGATTTGGGAGTTTAAAGCATCAGGTTAGTCTATCTAAGGCAAGGGTGGGCAAATGTCTCTCTTTTACAACCCTGTGGACTTCAACTCCCAGAATTCCTGAGACAGCCAAGCTGTCTCAGGAATTCTGGGAGTTGAAGTCCACAGGGTTGTAAAAGTGCCATGTTTGCCCCACCCCTGATCTAGGGCACTGTTTTTGAAACTTGGTATCTTTAATGTGAACTTCCAACTCCCAGAATGCCCCAGTCAGCATGGGGCATTCTGGGAGTTGACGTTCTGGTGTTTTAAGGTGGAGAATGGTCTCTATGACGACCCAAGGAAACAGGGCAATTCACAAGGCCAGTTACAAGAATGCCATCATTATCATGCATACAGAGACATTATTCCTCAGGCTTCTAAGGACTTCACCACTACCCCAAAGAAACTGGCACGAAAGGGTGCCCCAAACATGTGAAGGCAGGGTGTGATGGGAGTTGTAGCACTACAGCCATCCACAGAACAGGAATGGGGAAAGTTCAGAGGCATCAGTCCTCTTCCGATCCTGCTGCTTTAAATTCAATTTTCACTTCCATTCTGTTCCATTCTTTTTCTACTCTATCCTTTATATTCCATTTTCTATTCTATTCCATACCATTCTTTATATTATACTCTATTCTTTATATACTTTATATTCCATATTCCATTCTGTTCTGTTCATAGAACACCATAGGGAAGATGATCATGGCTTACACAATTCTGTTCATTGTAGGTAGAGACCCATCATGGTGTTTTCAAAGGCCTTTCTGGCTGCTCTATCAAGTGCTGGACTGGGCCTTATTTCTTGATTGCTACTTCCTTTACTCTTGATGGTTGATCCTAAAAGGCAGAAGCTGCTCACAACTTTGGTGCCTTCATTGTCAGTTCTAAAGGGGTTTGTTCTACCTGTAGTCCTTAGTCTTTTTTAAATTTAATTCTAGACTCCACTGATTTGCACAGCTTGTTTGATTTGCCTGTTTGATGTCTGGAAAGAATAGGCCTGACAGTTGGCCATTGAAGCAATCATTGCCATCAAAATAAGCTAAAAATACATGCAGAATTGAAAAATCCCTGGTGTGAATTATTTTGATGAGATGTGAGGTGTTCAGCTCACACTGAAGTTCTTCCCGCAATCTGAACACAGGTTCAGTTTCTCTTCAGCGTGGATCCTCGGATGGTAAATGAGAGATTTGCTTTTACTGAAGCGCTTTCAACACTCGGAGCCCTGAAACGGTTTCTTTCCAGTGTGGAGTTTCCAAAAGAGTTTTAAGGTTCGATTTAGAGCTGAAATTTTTCTCTCACACAAAACACTGGATTCTTTTTTTTCTTTTAACGAGAACCTCTGGAGATGCCAATTCCTGCAACCTTCTCATGTGCATGGGATGAGATGCCAGTTCATGGGGGACACAGAAGAGAATTAACCACAGTTCAGGGCAAGGGAGGAGATATGGTAGTCTTCGTTAGTGCGATTAATGAATCCCACCCAAAAAAATGACATTAAATTTATATTATTTGATGTGATATTTCTATGGAAAATAGGCTACCGTATTTTTCGGAGTATAAGATGCACCTTCCCCCCCCCCCTAAAAGAGGCTGAAAATTTGGGTGCGTCTTATACTCAATGTAGCTTTTTCGAAGCTTTTTTTCAGCCCTAAGGAGGTGCTAGCCGAGTGAAGCGATCTCCCCCACCCCTTCCCCTCGCTTTGCCTGCTTTTCTCATTGCTGCTTCCTCTCAGCTGTGCCTTAGAAGCTGTTTTTTATCCCCAAGCAGGGGATAAAAAAACCAGCGAACTAATGTGCTAAAGCTGACCAAACTAAGGACGCTAGCATGATGAATACCTGGTAGGCAGATTTTTTTCCCCTATTTTCCTCCCCAAAAACTAAGCTGCGTCTTTTATTCCGGTGTGTCTTATACTCCAAAAAATATGGTAATTGTTCCCAGATTGCTGGAAATAGGCAAGAAAAATGTTTAATATGATACATGAGGTTCTACATAAGGAGCCTTGGTGGAGCAGCGGACTAAAGCGCTGTTAAATAGTACTTAGCTGCCAGCTGCCTGCAATTATTGCCAGTTCAAATCTCACCAGGCTCAAGGTTGACTCAGCCTTCCATCCTTCCGAGGTAGATAAAATGAGGCCCGGATTGTGGGGGCAATAAGCTGACTTTGTATAAAAAAGAACACCGCTTAGAGGGGGCCAAAAGCCCTACTAAGCAGGTATATACAAAAGTATGAAGGCTCTTGCTTAACGCATTGTAAGCCGCCCTGAGTCTCCGGAGAAGGGCGGCATATAAATTGAACCAATAAATAAATAAATAAATAAATAAATCATAATGAAATATCACAGTAAAGAACAAGGATATGCTTAAAACAATTTACATTTATGAATGAAACTACTGTACATATAATAACCTTAACTGCATACATTGTAACCTGACATTAACTAAATTTTCGGTCACGATAGGCAATCTGATATCCATTTACAATTCACACTAAACTGAGTATTACAGAATTTAAGTTGCGCTTCTCACGACCTGCTGTGTACATACTAAGTAACCCAGTGATGGCTAATCTTTCACATCACCGCATGTCGACCTGCGTGCCAGAAATGGCACGCAAAACCATCCCACCTGGACTGCGTGGCCTTGTTGGCCCTCACGTGCGCAGGAGCAGCAAAATCCGGAAGAGCAGTGTTCCATCGTGCATACACATGCCGGCACCTGAACTTCTGGCATGGAGGCACACCCAATGAACAACTGGCTGTCGCACATGTGCATGACAGAAACCCAGAAGTTTAGGTGCCGGCGTGCACATGCGCGACAGAACACTTCTCTTCTGGGTTTCGGCACTCCCTTGCGCGTGAAGACCAGCTGACCAATGCACATGTGTGTACAGGAACACGGAAGAGGAGCCAGCAAGGCTGCGCATCCCGCGCGGGATGGTTCTACATGCCCCTTCCAGCACGCGTTCCATACGTTTGCCAACACGGTAGTAACCTGTGCTCCAATTAATCCCTGTGGGTGATTTATCTCTCTCTGCAATTGCAGCCAGGTGCATCTTCATGGTCAGGGAATTGCACAGCTGGTGTCTAAATGGAGTCAGAGACACTGTCAAGAATCAGCAGTGTTATAGAAATAAATATATTTACAGTAAGCAAGAGAGGCAAACAGTAAATCAATTACCTTAAAAAGTTTTACTTTACAATCTTAAAAGAGAACTTTCTGTCCCAGTTCAGAGCTGGGGACCCAGGTCTCTTGGGATTTTTTTCACTGTGAATACGGAGGACTGAGGGGCAAAAGAGAACCTGAGGCTTAAGTGATATCTGAAGAATATTTTCCTCCTCTAGATCACAACCATTTTTTTTAATAATACTCAGGTCAGGGAATCTTTTCCTCACTTCACTGCAATTATGAACTGCTTTGTGTTCTTTGAAAAGATTTCAGGAGAAAATGTTAAGATTTCTAGGCTTTCTCTCTATGGGCACTTACAAATGTATCACAAAAACTGTCTCATTTTAAGGGAACAGATTTTTCACACAAGCAAGCCCTAATATGGTTTGTCACCCAGAAAGCTTCCAGTAGTCAGAGCAGCTGGAAGGTTTATCTGGAGGGCATTTTTTCTGCAGACCAAGTAGACATTTCAGAAAAATATTTCCCACACCCCAAATGCACAATTTCTTTTTCTTGTGGATTCTTTACAGCCTCCAGAGGTGTCGGTGAAGAATTTTGCAATATTCCAAGCATTTATACAATTACGCCCTTTTGTGAACGCTTCAGGATTTATCAAGGTTTCCTTACAGGTAGTCCTCGACTTATAAAATCACTTTGTTCAGGAAAACTAGGAAAAACATATTGCCCATACCAAAGAATTGTAGAATGAGCCCTGTGTGAACTCACACAGCCCCGTCACTGTGTGAAGTTCCCAATGAATGGTATAACGTGTGACTTTTGAAAAAAAGTATTTCCCACTTTGTTCACAAGTAAAGGGATTTATTTCTACTATGGAGTTTCTGATGCATTTTAGCTTTCGATTTGCAGTGAAAAGTTGTCTCACCCTCTGCACACTTGTAAGGTCACTCTCCTGCGTGACTTCGGGTGTGCCTGTGAAATGCTGCAGGTTGGGCAAAACATTTCCCACAGTCCAAACATTTATAAGGTTTCTCTCCAGAGTGGATTCGTTGATGTATTATAAGAGTACTTTTCTGAGAAAAACATTTATTACACTCTGAGCATTTATGGGGCTTCTCTCCTGTATGGATTCGGCTGTGACTTTTAAGCGAAGATGACTTACCAAATGTTCTCCCACAGTCTAAACATTTGTAATTTTTCTCCCCCGTGTGAATTTTAACATGACTTCGAAGGCTTGATGGGGTGCGATAAAATCTTCCACATTCGTTACATTGATATGGCTTCTCCCCTGTGTGGGTTTTATGATGACTCCAAAGGTCTCCATTTTGAGCAAAACATTTTCCACATTCTACGCATCTGTATGGCTTCACTCCCCTGTGGAGTCTCTGATGCCTTCCAAGGTTGTGTTTTTCGGAAAGCATTTCCCACACTCCTCACACTTGAACGGCTTCTCCCCTGTGTGGATTCTCTCATGATTCTGAACCTCTCTTGGAGTAAGAAAACTTTTCCCACACTCCCCACATTTATAGGGTTTCTCCCCCTTGTGCCTCTTCTGGTGCCTCTGAAGTTCAGAAGAATTTACAAATCGTCTCTCACATTCTGGGCATTCATAGGGTCTCTCTCCAGTGTGAAGTCTCTGATGTTGCACCAGGTTTGATTTCCAGGTAAAACATTTCCCGCATTCGAGGCACTTTTCGTTTTTCTCCCCCGTGTGTGTTTTCTCATGACTCCGAAGAGCTGAACTCTGGATGAAGCATTTTCCACACTCAAAGCATTTGTAAGGTTTGATTCCTGCATGAATCTGCTCATGGATCCAAAGATGTGCCTTCTGAGCAAAGTTCTTCCCACACTGTCCACAGCTGTAAGGTTTCTCTCCAGTGTGAATTCTCTCGTGGTTTCTGAGATTGGCTTTCTTTTGGAAAATTTTCCCACATTCCAGACATTGATAAGGTTTCTCTCCAGTGTGGATTTTCTGATGTGTAAGAAAGTGTGACTTTCGACCAAAGGATAAGTCACATTCCTCACATTTATGGGGTTTTAGTCTGGGGGAACTTCTGAGATCTTTGGCATTTATTGCAGAGAAGGATTTCTCACCCTCCAAACCTTGACTGGATCCACTTCCCACATGGATCTTCTGGTGGGTCAAAAGGAGGGACCATTCAGCAAAGGATTTCCCGCACTCTGAGCATTCATGGGTTGTTTTGTGGTTTTTCGGAGTGCTGGTTGTGTCTGATAAAAGATCCAAGTCCACCATGCTTTATGGTGGCTGCTGCCTTGCACTAATTTTCTACTGCTTGTTGATAGTTGTCATTGTAGATAAATCTTGAGATCACAATCTTTTATCCACTGTTAGAATGAAAAAGAAATGAAGAATAGTATTTCCTTTCAAGAAAAGTACAGAATCACAAAATCCTAGACTTGAAAAGGACCATTTGGTCTTCCAATGTAACCCCTCTCCAGGACCTCAGAACTCCATAGACAAAAACTCCAGTGATGGAGACCCCACATCTCTAGGAGGCAAACTCTTCTGTTGTGGTGGAAATTAAGTGGTTTTGTGGGTGGTTAAGTGAAGTGGTGCCTAAGGGAGTGGGGGAAACCCAGGAGATCCAGTGCAGGCCATGCATGAATTAGGAGAGCTGCAGTGTGATGCAAAGCTGCAGCTGCCCCCAGAAGCCTCAGCCACCCAAACTGGGCCCTACAATGGGGCAGAAATGCCAGGGTGGTGCCTTAAATGGAGGCCTGGGGCCTTCAGTAGTTTCAGCCAGCTGCCACTGACGTCAATCCTGGACTTCAGCCCAGTACCACCGCTGCCACTGAGGAATGCGGCCTTAATCCCCAGACCGGTGGCCTTTGCACCCTTGCACTATTCTCCAAGTCGCATGTTCCATACCATTTCTAAGCAAGGTGGACCAAAACATCTCTAAGCTTCTCCAAAACCCCCTCAAGTCAAATGCAGACTGTGCCAGGACTCACTTGCCTCTCCTTTTGGGAAATCTGTGCTTCTTACCCAGGATGCCATCCACTTAATGACCAGTGAGATCACTTAACAACTGCAACAGTGAGTGCAGAATGACACTTCTTGAGCAAAGCCGTCCTGTGATATCTCACATAAGGATTACTTTGCTAAACAAGCAAAATTCCAATCCCAAATGGAATCGTAAATCGAGGACTACCTACAGGCAACGCAAAAGATTAAGGCTTCCTAGAAGCAAAAGAGGAGGAAGGCGAGGTCAGGCTAGTATAAGCAACCCATTTCTTCTCGCCTTTTCTTGCTTTTTCTGTGTTTTGCAGTTATGAGCTCCATCCCATCATGACTAATTGATCCTGGCTTCCTTGTGACACATTTCCTCTTCCTGTATGAAGGAAGGAAGGAAGGAAGGAAGGAAGGAAGGAAGGAAGGAAGGAAGGAAGCAAGCAAGCAAGCAAGCAAGCAAGCAAGCAAGCAAGCAAGCAAGCAAGCAATAGCACTTAGACTTATATACCGCTTCATAGTGCTTCACAGCCCTCTTTAAGCGGTTTACAGTGTCAGCATATTGCTCTCCCAACAATCTGGGTCCTCATTTTACCGACCTAGGAAGGACGGAAGGCTGAGTCAACCTTGAGCCTGGTGAGATTCAATCTGCCAAACTGTTGGCAGCCGGTGATCAGCAGAAGTAGCCTGCAGTACTGCACTCTAACCACAGTGCCAGCGCAGAGGGAGGGAGGGAGGGAGGAAGGAAGGAAGGAAGGTATAGAGAGGTGGGTTCAAATCCACCTTCAGCTTTAGAAACTCTGGATGACAGGGGCCAACCCTGGCCTCTCTACCTGTCTACCAAGGTTTACCCTTGGGGAGGGGAATAAATTAAAAGATATTATGAGGAAGGATTGTTTTGGCTGAATGAACTACTGCTCTTATGCATTTTCCCCCACCCCGCCCCAGTCACCTAGAACCAGGGTGGATAAAAATCAATGATTTTTTTTAAGAAATAAAAAAAATCAGATTTTTTTAATTTAAATTGGATTTTTTTGATTTTTATCGAATTTATTTTAATAAAAAACTTTTGGGGTAAAAATCTATTGTAAGATAGTTTTCTATTCAAGATACACAAATAATTTAGTTTATTCAGCATGAAATGGAGCTTAGTTATGTAGCATGAGGCTGTATATTCTGCAACACTGGGACTATCGGTGAGTCAACAGCGGGTCAAAGGAGGAGCAGAGATGACAGTTGCTCTTTCAAAATTATGATTTAAATCGAGTTGACTTAAATCAAGCCTTTTTACTAGTGATTTAAATCATGATTTAAATTGTGATTTAAATCAACTCGATTTAAATCAAATCCACCCTGCCTAGAACTCATGAGGAGCAGGACGGATTTTTTTTTTAAAAAAAAGGCTCTAACAGCTAAAAATAAAGGGGCAATAAGAGAATTAAAGGTGGATTTGGACCCCTTTGAAAGAAAAACACCCAATAAAGCCAATCCACACCTAATAAGACACAGAACACTCCCTGGAAGTTTTAACCCTGCAAAGGGGGGCGTGGGGGGTGTGAGGGAATACATAAAAGCAGTAGTTCATTCAGCCAAAGCAATTAAACTGAAATCGAGATCGATGGGGATGGGGATGAGGATGAGGATGGAGGGGGGGGGGACTAAGCTACATCCCCCCCCCTAACCTGCAGCGAAAAGGCGAGGCCACGGACCCTCTTGCTTGCTCTGCAAAGGCACCCCCCCTCCCCACCTCGTCTTTTCTTTGCAGGGACAGTTCAGATCTTTTTGGGTAGGGGGGCTTCCCAGCGCTCTTCCTCCCTCCCTGCTTCTCTGCAGCTTCGCTTTGCCCAAATGCACAAGGCGGGCGAGATGGGGGGGAGACCCACCGGCCGCTGTCCCCCCCCCCACCTCCATTAAAGGACCCACCACCACCACCCACCAGAAAAATACAGCAGAGTCGCTCTCCACCCCTTCTGCAAACGCCGCTACCAGCATCCGCCCGCGGGAGCATTCAGACGAGACCAGGAATGGGAGGAGTGTTTGGCTTTCCCTTCTTTCCCTCCCCCCCCCCCGCTTCTCATTCTTCCCCCCCCATCCCAAGACCCCAAACTCCACCCCAAATTTTCTTCCTCTCTAGGAATCCGTCGCTTCTATTTAACTCCTTCGAAGACGGGAGCAAGAAGAAGGTTGATGAAATAGGGAGGGAAAAGGGGAGGGAAGGGGCAAGCAGGATTCGCACCAGGTCTGTAGTGTAAACACACACACACCCCAACAGGTGACCTAAGGCCGGGCAGAGGCACCTGGCCGTGGTTGGTGCGAAGCTGTAACCAGATTTGGACGTTTAATGCATCAGGTTAGTCTATCTAACCTGAATCTGAACCTTTGCATCTTTAAAAATATAGGTGAACTTCAACTCCCAGAATTCCCCAGTCAGCATGGGGCATTCTGGGAGTTGAAGTTCAGCTATTTTAAGATGGAGAATGGTCTCTATGCCAACCCAGGAAACAGGGCAATTCACAAGGCCAGTTACAGGAATGCCACCATTAACATCCCTATAGAGAACTTATGCCTTAGGCTTCTAAGGACTTCAACACTACCCCAAAGAAACTGGCTCAAAAGGGTGCCCCAAACATTTGAAGGCAGGGTGTGATGGGAGTTGTAGTACTTGGGCCGTCCAAAGAACAGGAATTCGCACCAGGTCTCTAACCCCCGCCCCCTTCCCACAGGTGATCTAAGTCCGGGCAGAGGCACCTGGTTACAGCGAAGCAGTAACCCAGAGGTCTTCAAACTTGGCAGCTTTTAAGACTTGTGGACTTCAATTCCCAGAATTCTCCAGACAAACATATGAAATCCCCCATGATCTTTTTTTTTTTAATTTGATTTATATGCCGCCCTTCTCCGGAGACTCAGGGCGGCTTACAATGCATTAAGCAATCTTCCCCACCCCCTTCAGGCACCCATGTAGGTCTCCCTCCACTTAACAACCCACAAAATCACTTAACAACTACTATAACAAAAGAGTTTGCCTCCTAGGGACTTGAGGGCTCCATCATTGGCAATTTTGTCAAGGGTGTCTTGTGATATCTCGCATAATGACCACTTTGTTAAACAAGCAAGATTCCAGTCCCAAATGTAATCGTAAATCGAGGACTACCTACAGGCAACACAAAAGATTAAGGCTTCATAGAAGCAAAAGAGGAGGAAGGAGCGGTTAGGCTAGTATAAGCAACCCATTTCTTCTCCCCTTTTCTTGCTTTTTCTGAGTTTTGCAGTTATGAGCTCCATCCATTCATGACTAATTGATCCTGGCTTCCTTGTCACAGATTTCCTGTTCCCTGTATGGAGAAAGGAAGGAAAGGAAAGGAAAGGAAAGGAAAGGAAAGGAAAGGAAAGAAGTGGAGTGGAGTGGAGTGGAGTGGAGAGGAATGGAATGGAATGGAATGGAATGGAATGGAATGGAATGGAATGGAAAGGTAAGATAAGGGAAGGGAAGGGAAGGGAAGGGAAAGAAAGGAAAGGAAAGGAAAGGAAAGGAAAGAAGAGTGGAGTGGAGAGGAATGGAATGGAATGGAATGGAATGGAATGGAATGGAATGGAAAGGGAAGGGAAGGGAAGGGAAGGGAAGGGAAAGGAAAAGAAAGGAAAGGAAAGGAAAGGAAAGGAAAGGAAAGGAAAGGAAAGGAAAGGAAAGGAAAGGAAAGAAGAGTGGAGTGGAGAGGAATGGAATGGAATGGAATGGAATGGTAAGGTAAGGTAAGGTAAGGTAAGGTAAGGTAAGGGAAAGGAAAGGAAAGGAAAGGAAAAGAGAAAGGGAAGGGAAGGGAAGGGAAGGGAAGGAAAGGAAAGGAAAGGAAAGGAAAGAAGAGTGGAGTGGAGAGGAATGGAATGGAATGGAATGGAATGGTAAGGTAAGGTAAGGGAAAGGAAAGGAAAGGAAAAGAGAAAGGGAAGGGAAGGGAAGGGAAGGGAAGGGAAAGGAAAAGAAAGGAAAGGAAAGGAAAGGAAAGGAAAGGAAAGGAAAGGAAAGGAAAGGAAAGGAAAGGAAAGAAGAGTGGAGTGGAGAGGAATGGAATGGAATGGAATGGAATGGTAAGGTAAGGTAAGGTAAGGTAAGGTAAGGTAAGGGAAAGGAAAGGAAAGGAAAGGAAAAGAGAAAGGGAAGGGAAGGGAAGGGAAGGGAAGGAAAGGAAAGGAAAGGAAAGAAGAGTGGAGTGGAGAGGAATGGAATGGAATGGAATGGTAAGGTAAGGTAAGGTAAGGGAAAGGAAAGGAAAGGAAAAGAGAAAGGGAAGGGAAGGGAAGGGAAGGGAAGGGAAGGAAGGAATAGAGAATAGTGCGTTCAAATTCATCTTCACCTATAGAAATTCTGGATGGGGCAGTCTGAGTCTGCCTACCTTGCTGATTTATGGTTGGGAAGAGGAATAAATTAAGTATAATGGGGAAAAACGATATTGCGAATATGGATTGTTTTGGCTGAATGAAATGCTGCTTTGATGCATTTCTCATCCAGTCACCTAGAACTCATGAGGAGCAGGATGGATTTTTTTTTTTAAAAAAAAGGCATCTAGTGAGGCACTGAACTCCCCCTGGAAATTCAATAAGGGGGGGGGAGAGGCAGCTATCAAACCGAAATCGAGATCGATGGGGATGAAGGGGGGGCTAAGCTACATCCCCCCTAAGGCAGCGAAAAAGGGAGACCACACGGACCCCCTTGCTTGCTTGCTCTGCAAAGGCACTCCCTCCGCACCTCGTCTTTTCTTTGCAGGGATAGCTCAAACCTTTTTGGGTAGGGGGACTTCCCAGCGCTCTCCCTCCCTCCCTGCTTCTCCGCAGCTTCGCTTTGCCCAAATGCACAATGGGGGGGACAGGGGGAGACCCACTAGTTGGTGTCCCTCTCCCCGAGCCAGTTAAATGGAAATCCTAAGGGCACATCCCACCCCTGCACACACATACACCAGGAAGGCCCAGAGGGAGAGCAGGAAGGATGAATCTCATCCTCTGCTGCCAGCGTCCTGCCCCGGGAGCATTCAGACGAGACAGGGAATGGGAGGAGCATTTGACTTTCCCTTCTTCTCTCCATCACTGTGCAGATCTAGGCAGTGGTGAAATTCAAAAAATTTTTATTAGCGGTTCTGTGGGCGTGGCTTGGTGGGCGTGGTGTGGCTTGCTGGGCGTGGCAGGGGAAGGATACTGCAAAATCCCCATTCCCACCCCACTCCAGGGGAAGGATACGGCAAAATCCCCATTCCCACCCCACTCCTGGGGGAAGGATACTGCAAAATCCCCATTCCCACCCCACTCTGGGGCCAGCCAGAAGGTGGTATTTGCCGGTTCACTGAACTACTCAAAATTTCCGCTACTAGTTCTCCAGAACCTGCTGGATTTCACCCCTAGATGTAGGTCAAGCAACTTCATTCATGGTTGAGAACTTACGGTTCACTGAGTTATAATAAAAGAGCCTTGGTGGTGCAGCGGACTAAAGTGCTCTTAAGTAGCACTTAGCTGCCAGCTGCCTGCAATTACTGCGAGTTCAAATGTCACCAGGCTCAAGGTTGACTCAGCCTTCCATCCTTCCGAGGTAGGTAAAATGAGGACCCGGATTGTGGGGGCAATAAATTGACTTTGTATAAAATAGAACACCGCTTAGAGGGGGCCGAAAGCCCTACTAAGCAGGTATATACAAAAGTATGAAGGCTATTGCTTAACGTAGTGTAAGCCGCCCTGAATCTCCGGAGAAGGACGGCATATAAATCGAACCAATAAATAAATAATAAATAAAATAAGCCTCCTTCTCCAAACTGGTGCCACGCGGATGTGCAGAACCACAGTTTCCATTGTCCACAGCCAGGCCAGTGAAATTTTAGACCCGTCTGAAAATGTGCATCTGGATAGGAAAGTCTTGGAAGAAACCCAGGTGCGAAAGAGTTAAGTCTAATGAATTCCTTGGTGGGGGGTGGGAAAAGGCATTCCTAGAGAGGAAAAGGTGGATGTGAAATCATAGCTTGAAAAAAAAAGGAGACCCGTAAATACCGCAGACCCTTTTCCTGTTCCCACACTTTTTCCCTTCCCTCTGGAAACAGGCGCTTTTCATCCTGCTAAGGATTCCAGTGCATTTTTTTTTTTTTAAAGGGGGCATTTGCCTTTCTCTGCCAGAGTCACGCAGGGTGCATCTGCAGGAAGGAAGACCTAGAGGGTGCATTAAAATCAGGAAAATTGGGTGAGTTTTTAAAAATAAAGGGTGGGCGGGAGGCAAGCCCACTCAGTATTTTGCATCCAAAAAACAAACAAACAAACAAAAAAGCATCTACCCCAAATCAAGTGACTGTCAGTTGTCTTGTTTTTTCAGTCCCCACAATTTTTAACTAATCCAAGAGAGCCTATGTAGATGCTCAGTCACCCATAATAACCAATCATGGTTATGTCCCAAAAGTGCTAATTTTTTTCAGGAGGCAACTGGATTTTCTTGTTTTTTCTTTGATGACGTTTCACTTCTCATCTAAGACGCTTCTTCAGCTTTAACTGGATGGTGGGGAATGGAAGTGAAGGGAAATGGTAATAAGGATATAATAAATAAGAGCCTTGGTAGTACAGTGGTCTAAGGCACCCTGTTATTAAGCTGGTTATTAAGACCAGCTGCCTGCAATTACTGCAGGTTCGAATCTCGCCAAGGCTCAAGGTTGACTCAGCCTTCCATCCTTTCTAAGGTAGGTGAAATGAGGACCCGGTTTGTGGGGGCAATAAGCTGACTTTGTATAAATATACAAAAGGATGAAGGCTATTGCTGAGCACATTGTAAGCCGCCCTGAGTCTCCGGAGAAGGGCGGCATATAAATCAAATTAAAAATTTAACAATAATAATAATAATAATAATAATAATAATAATAATAATAATAATAATAATAGAATAGACTGGTATACTAGAATTAGTAGAAACGTGTTATTCTGTAACCATTAGTTTCCTGTAACACATATTATGCCTTTATATTTGTACCTCCTGTAACTAACTTCCTGTAACAAACATATGTTATTAGGCCTCTGTAAAGTATCTGGTATTTGTCAAACACATGTTCCTGCCATTTGATCTGAACCCATATCAATCTTCTTCCTGTTTTTCTCCTGCCATCCAAAAGCATGGTACTTATCGTAGTTGGAACTGCAGACATCATCCGGGGGGATAACTTACACTTCAGCCCTAACTTCATTTCATTTTTCATTTCATTTCATTTTATTAAATTTGTATACCGCTCTACTCCCGAAGGACTCAGGGCGGTGAACAACCATAAAATAAAACATATAGATAAAAAATTTAAAATAGAGATAAAACTAATTAAATAAATTTGGCTGAACCAATTTTAAAACCCCAATAAATTAAAACCAAATTTAAAACCTTTGATCTGTGTAAGCTCCCTTCCCTGCAGCACCATAGATGATCCAAGCGCCCAAATTCTAATCACCCCCTCCATGCGGATGCTGTGGTGGTCGTAAGTGTGAGGATTGGTCGTACGTCACGTTGCCATCACGTGACGTTTCGTGTTTGCCATTCACGGAGCTGGGGTGGGTGTGGCCTGCGCATGACACTTCTGGCCCATGGGCTGCCAGTTTGACACCCCTGCAAAAGATAAATACAGGTAGTCCTCGACTTACAACAGATTTTTTTATTTTATTTTATTTATATACCGCCCTTCTCCGGAGACTCAGGGCGGCTTACAATGCGTTAAGCAATAGCCTTTATACTTTTGTATATTTATACGAAGTCAGCTTATTGCCCCCACAATCTGGGTCCTCATTTTACCTACCTTAGAAAGGATGGAAGGCTGAGTCGACCTTGAGCCTGGTGAGATTTGAACTTGCAGTAATTGCAGGCAGCAGATGTAAGTGGATGTTATTTAGTCTGCTGAGCCACTAGAGCTCCTAAGTTTGCTTAGTGACCGTTCAAAGTTACAACGGCACTGAAAAAAGAGATTTATGACTGTTATGACTTATGACCGATGCAGCATTCTCATGGTCATGTGAGTTACATTTGGATGCTTGACCACTGAATCACATTTATGATGAATCCAGTATGCCTGGGTTTTAAAGTTGCTAAATTTGGAGACCTTGGCTCTAATCCAGAGGTCTTCAAACTTGGCAGCTTTAAGACTTGTGGACTTCAACTCCCAGAATTCTCCCAGAGTTTGAGGACCTCTGCTCTAATCAAAGGAATCAAGATGTGTTGGTGTCAATAAGCAGATCAGATGCTGGTTTGGGTTTCTCAGCCTATCATGGGCAGGATTTTCCCTCTGTGCTTTATAGGTAGTCCTCAACGTACAACCACAGTTGAGCCCAATATTTATATTGCTAAGTGAGACATTTGTTAAGTGAGTTTCTGCCACCGATAACCTCCCATCGTCCAATACGCTCCCACAGAGAGGGTCTCCTCAGGGTGCTGTCGGTCAAGCACTGTCGACTGGTGACCCCCAGGGGGAGAGCCTTCTCTGTGGGGGCACCTGCCCTCTGCAACGAACTACCCCCAGGGATACGACTGATCCCAGACCTCCATACTTTCTGTCGGGCTCTGAAGACTTTCTTGTTTCAGCGAGCCGGGCTGGTTTAAGATTTTAATGGATTAATTTTATGGGTATGGGGTTTTAAAATTGGGTAGCCAAATTGATTTAATTATTTTTAAAATTATTTTAATTTTCATACTGTATGTATTTTAACCTTGGCTGTTCACCGCCCTGAGTCCTTCGGGAGAAGGGCGGTATAAAAGAAAAAATAACAAAATAATAAATAAATAAATTTTACGACTTTTCTTGCCAGGTTTGTTAAGTGAATCGCTGCAGTTGCTAAATTAGTAACTCGGTTGTTAAGTGAATCATATTTCCCTATTGACACGAAGATCGCAAAAGGGGATCCCATGACCCCAGGACACACTGCAACCGTCATAGATGTGAGTCAGTTAACAATCATCCGATTGTAAATCACGTGGCCATGGGGATGCTGCAATGGTCATAACTGTGAAAAACAGTCGTAAGTCCCTTTTTTCAGTGCTGGTGTAACTTTGAACTGTCACTTGTTGTGGCCTGTATGCGGCCTGTGCAGCTAGTAGCTGATTCAGACAGCGAGGAGGCTGGTGTGGTGATTCGCCAGTAGCTTATGCAGCTGGCACTCAAGTCGGACAATGAGGAGGCTGGAGAAGATGTGGTGGCAGAGGCAGGGACTCAGCCAGGGCCTTCAGAACCTCCAGAAGCTCCCTTAAGTGAAGAGGACAAAGAGGAGGAGCCTCTTCTCAATGCACGGGTGCGCAGAGCTGCCAAAAGGCAGGAGTGGCTCCTCAGGAGGCGGTCTCCTCAAGAGTAAGGCTTGGGGCTAATTGGCCACTCCCTTAGCCTATTTAAGGAGGAACGCCGACTGAAGCAATTTGCAGGGAACAAATTCATTCACATACCTTCGTGTCTTGTCTTGCTTATCTTATCAGCTTCCTGCAAATTGCTTCTGGGCATTCTGCCAACCATAGTAAGCTTTCACTTATTATTCTTTGAATTCTTGGTGGCTGTTAATGCAATTAATTAACAGGCATTGTTGTAAAAGACTGGTTTATTTAGTAAACTAAGGTTTGAACGGACTTTGTGTGTGCTGCGTTCTTTGGGGTATGTAGCTGGGGCAGAGCATCACTAAGCGTACTGTTGTAAGTCAAAGGCTACCTGTGTCAACTTTCTTTCCCAGCACCAAACGTTTTCCTGCTTGTCTTCTTTCTCCCTCTGCAGAGAAGCTCCATTTCCGTCTTGGAAATGGAAGATCCGGTGATGGTCCTCAAAGTGGCAGGAGGGTCAGGCACGGTTGGAAGAAACCCTCAGCTGCTACCGACTGGAAGCATTGGGCGATTCCCACAAAGGGTGTCAGCGCAGAAGAAAGTTAAGGAGGAGCCAGACGAAGTGGTACTTCCTTCTTGGGACACCCAGCGGCAGCACTTTCGGCAGGAAACGGGGTCCCCTTCCTCAGGATGGGGGTCTCCTCAGCCGCCCCCGGAACTGACCCCATGGGATGATGCCAAGGGCTTCCTGGCCTCCTTTGAGCAAGTGGCCAAAGCCTGCCGGTGGCCAAAATACGAGTGGGCAGCCCGTCTCTTGCCCGCCCTCAGTGGGCAAGCTGAATGGGCCTTCAGTGGCCTGGAGGCCGGAGAGCGAGAGGATTACGGGAAAGTGAAGACGGCCATCTTGTGGGGAAGCGCCCTGAGCCGAGAGAAGCAGCGCCAGCACTTTCGCCGTTTCTGCTACCAGGAGGCTGAGGGCCCACGGCGGGCTTGCACCCGTCTTCAGGAGCTTTGCCGCCGGTGGCTGAAGGTGGAGAAACACTCCAAGGAGCAGATCCTGGAGTTGCTGATCCTGGAGCAGTTCCTGACTATCCTGCCAGGGGAGATTCAGAGCTGGGTCAGAGCCCGGGGCCCCGATACCTGCTCCCAGGCGGTGGCCCTGGCCGAGGATTATCTGCAGAAGCAGCAGAAAACGGAGGAGTGGGAGCAACAGGTGAGGAGAACTGATCCTGTTTACATCCGTGAGCATAAGGTTAATGGTGGAGAGGCAGTGCGTCTCAAAAGGGAAACATCGCTGATTATTTCCAATGTGGATGGGGTTTAATGTTCACCAGACTTTAATATTCACCTACACTCAGTGGTGAAATTCCAATTTCTTTACTACCGGTTCTGTGGGTGTGGCTTGGTGGGTATGGCAGGGGAAGGATACTGAAAAATCCCCATTCCCTCCCCACTCCTGGGGAAAAGATACTGCAAAATCTTCATTCCCACCCCACTCTGGGGCCAGCCGGAGGTGGTATTTGCCGGTTCTCTGAACTACTCAAAATTTCCGCTACTAGTTCTCCAGAACCTGCTGAATTTCACCCCTGCCTACACTGCATGCATGCACAGCACCTTATTTTTTAATATATGCGCTGCTATGTACTGTAAACTAGTGGTTTTGATTGTACTGTACCAGCCACTGAGAAACTGACTAGATTAGAGAAACTGGTCACTTGTTCGCGGCTGAAACAGCTCTTAAGATTCTTGTATGTTTTGACCATACAAATAAACTAAAAAGATCTGTCTGTTTATCTTGTCATCTATCTAGGATAGTCAGACAGACATCTTTAATTTATTTGTATCGCACCTTTATTTTTTTTTAAAAAAAAACACAAGGTGGCAAACATGTCCAACACACCTTCCTCCTCCTATTTTCCCCACAACAACAACAACAACAACCCTGTGAGGTGGGTTGGACTGAGAGTGACTGGCCTAAAGTCACCCAGCTGGTTTTCATGGCTAAGGTGGGACTTGAACTCACAGTGTCCCTGTCAGATGTAAATGCCTTATTCTCCAATGTGTAAATAATGTATATATGGAACATCAGAGGTTAACTTATTCTTTGGACTTTAATGTATTCATAACTTACCACTCCCATTCCTAGCTCCACCCCTTGTATATATAAGGAGCCACCCTCACCATTCTCGTCGCTTCTACCTTGAATATTCAGTGAATATAGAATGTCTATCATAATTAAAAAGAAATATATTTAAAGCTCTAACTCCTATTATCTTTATTGAGTCTGATCCTGAAAATATTGCAACAAGCTGGTAGCAGAGGATGGTTAATTGACTCAATAAGTAATTAAAAATGTCCAAGAAAGATAGGCCCAACACCAGGGCCTACAGCAAAGAAATAGAAACTGATCAAGAGATGATCAACGAATCCACCAATGCGATTTCGAGAGAATCCGAAGAATACACCACTGAAGAAGAAGAACTAATGAGTGAAAATAATGACCAGAAAGAAATCGAAATAGAAAATAACGAACTCAGGTCAGAGATATTAAAGATACTAAAAAGCCAAAAGAATGATGAAAGTCTCATCGCGGACCTCCAGGAGATGCTGAAGAACAGCGGAGCAGCGAGAGAGAAAAACGTCATTAAAGAAAAACCCAAAGATCAAAAAATCGTAAGTGAGATGACTACTGAGAAAATAGTTGTTAAAAAGAAAAGATGTGATCCCGCGCGAAATTTTGAATGGCAGCCATCTTGGTTTCAACGAACTTCAAAAGAGAATGGAGCAGAGCCAATCAAAACGCTCAGTTCAAAATTTCTGGCGCGAAAAACACTATCAGACGAAGAAAGTGAGAAAGAAGTCTCAAACTCTTCAGATGATCCAAAATCAGAAAGTGAAGACGATTTAACAAAATCTCAAGTAAAATCAGCAATGAAAACGCTTTTTGCTGCTTTTGGGCCAAGACTGAAAATTACCAAGACATCTACGAAGAAGCAAGAAATCAAACCGGCGACTCAAGACCTGCACGCTCCCATCCTGACTTCGAAAGCGACGACGCCCGAGCCCAGAGAGCCATGCCGATTTCGCCCTACACCACAGACAAAATCGAATACCAACGCACACAAAAAGAAGAAAAGAACCGTCACCACCACCAGAACCCCAAAAAACCGAGCCAGAGACCGACTCATCTGAGGAGGAGCGGATCGAGAGAGCTGAAAGGGAGAGAACCTTCCACGACGCCACCAAAGAAGAAATGAGCAACGCGCATGTGCGAAACTACGTAGACGACCCAGAAGGACTTGAACTGGCCAGAGAACCGCGCAGACTCATTGCAAGCATCCCAATGCCGTTCTGTAATTTCCTGCACTTGAGAGATCACGGACTGCCCCAGGTTGTAAGTAATGGACAGAATAATGTAGGTAACTTACCCAGTGACTTCCCAAAACTTAGAATTGATGGCATTAATTTACAAGAGTGGTATCAACAGCTTCAGGTTATTTTCATGAAAGAAAATTTACTATTCTTTATAACTAGCCCTCCAAGAAGACCTTGGACTTTAAAAATAGATTGTTTACATCATAGAGCATTTTTCATAATAATATCTAGCGTGTCTCCTGCAATGTATCATAGCATCAAACCAAACCTAACTGTATCAGAAATAATTCAATGCATGTTTAATCTATTTCACAGCGATAGCGTAGCTACAACCACAAGAATGTCTAAGGATTTCTTTTCCTCTAGAGTAAAACCAGGGTTTCTATAAGTGAGCATTTGATAAATCTAAACAAAATAAGAGCTGAGCTACAATTGAGGGGGGAAGTGATTTCAGATCAAACAATGAAAAGTGTTATTATCAATTCACTTGATCCATCATGGGATAGCTTTATGTCACACTTAGATACCATTAATTTGGGATATTTATCCATAGAAAGTCTATCTAACAAATTGATAGCAGAAGACAATTCAAGAAAAAATCGATCCAGTAACCAAACAGACCACAAACCTTTTAGGAAAGTAGTCTTTCAAGATAAACATAATGAGGCCTTTAGATGCTACAATTGTGGATCCAGGGAACATAGTAGAAGAGACTGCCCCAAAGTCTCAAGAGAGAGACATAGACCAGAATATAGGAGCAAATATAATTACAGACAATCTTCCACAGATAGACACAAATATAGAAGCCCACCAAATTACAAAGAAGGTAGAGAGGGTAGAGAAAATTCAAAAGAGAGGAAATCTGGGTCACTGAATGGGCTAAATAAACAAGACAGCACCAGAACACAGCAGGATGAGAATAACAATTGGCTTATTGATTCTGGTGCAACAAATCACACCACCAACAACAAAAGTATATTATCTTCATTTATAGAAGATAAGTTTGTGATAAAGGTAGCTAATCAAGAAAAGGTTCAAGTACTAGGCAAAGGAAATGTGACCTTGCCTGGTCTAGGGAAAATAGAGGGGGTATTATTAATCCAGAAATACCTCACAACATACTAAGTGCCATAAAATTAAGCAGAGAATCTGATATCAATATAGTTTTCTCAAAGGGGAAAGCAACTATAGAAAAGAACAAAACAAATGTAGGTACTGTAATGATAAAAGGAGGTCTACCCTATCTGATAATTAAAGAAAGATGTTTACATAACATTGATTCAAATATGGAAGATTGTATTGAAGCAGATGATGAAAATGTCAGTAACAGTGACAATGATGAGTGTAGAATAACTCATGATCACAAAAATACATACAAGGAAAAGAAACCAAAAATAGGTAAACCAATTCATGATGAGTGTGCTCACATCTTACACAGAAGTTAGGACATGCAAGCTTTCCTGTAGTACAAAAAATGACTGAACACGCAGAAGGTGTCAAAATAAAAAATTGTGAAAATTATTTGGAATGCTCAGTATGTAAGTCCACCAAACTAAAAACCAGTCCCAGACCAAAAAAATCTAACAGATCAACTAACAATATTTTTGATTTGGTACATATGGACTTAGTTGGTCCATTAAGTCCCTCAATTACCTATAGAAAACGTTACTTCCTAACAATAGTGGATGACTACAGCCGATATGGTTTTGTTTACACATTAAAGCACAAGGATGAAACATTTCAGAAATTTAAGGAATTCTACAAACGTATAGAAACACAACATAATATCAGAATAAAGCAAATTATGACAGATAGGGGATGTGAGTTCATGTCTAAAGAATTCTCCCAATGGTTAAAGGATAGAGGAATGTTACATTTCACGTCCAATCCTTTTTCTGCATTTCAAAATGGAGTTGCAGAGAGGAAAAATTCCACACTACAAACCATGATTAGGTGCACATTAGAGGATGCTGGTTTAGGCAAACAATTTTGGTCAGAGGCATTACATTATTCGAATTACACTCAAAATAGAACCTGGTCCAGTATTGTGAATAAGACACCATATGAGGTGATGTACAATAGAAAACCCAAATTATCACACATGCACATATTTGGAGTCACTGCAGACGTACACATACCTAAACAATTGAGGAGAAAGGGAGAAAACGTATCCAGGAGATTAAGATTCATGGGATACGAAACTGGAACCAAAGGGTACAGATTTATTGATAGTAATAACAAATTTATAGTATCCAGAACAGCTGTGTTCCATGAACAGGCCAATTGGTCAAAATTGCACCTTAATGAAATATTTCCTAATAAATGTAAAGATACGATATCTTGCGAGGAAGGAACAACAGAAAATCAAAATATTAACAAAAGTAAGAACAAAACCAAAACTTGGACTAATAGTCAGCATAAAATAAAGACAGACACATTAACAAAAAAGGAAGCTAGATATTTGCATGATAACCATAGCAAGCCTGAAAGAACTATTAGAAACAATAGAAACCAAATACCAAATAAATACAAAGATTACATAATGCATATGAATGGAGAACAAATAACACCTAATACATATGAAGAAGTATTGAAACTTCCACATGAAGAAAGAGAAAAATGGGAACTAGCTATGGAAAAAGAGATGGAAAGTTTACAAGGATTAAATGTATTCACACCTGCGATCGCACCTAAGGATAAAACAATTATAGGTACCAGGTGGATTTATAAAATTAAGAACTTAGAAGGAGGCAATACCTTATACAAGGCTAGACTAGTTGCACAAGGCTATGCACAAAAATATCCAGAAGACTATACTGATACATATTCACCCACAGTGAGAACAGAGAGTGTCAAAACAGCCCTTGTAGTAGCATCTGCACTCAATCTGGACGTATTCCAATATGACATACAGACCGCATACTTACATGCAAAATTAGATAAGGAAATATATGTAAGAGCACCACACAGTCAATACACTAATAAGAACGAAATTTGGTTATTAAATAAGAGTCTGTACGGATTAAAGCAATCCGGCAAAAGATGGTACGATTGCTTGGTAAAAGTACTTAAGACCATGGATTTCAACGCCACCACTGCTGATAACTGTTTCTTTGTAAAAAAGAGTAATGATCATATTGAATTTGTATTAATTTACGTGGACGATATTTTATACATTGGAAAGCATAAAGAGAGCAGGGAAATCTTTGTAAATAAGTTAAATGAACACTTCTCACTGAAATCTCTGGGTAAAGTGAATAAATACCTTGGTGTGCAAATTAACAAAACTAAAAGGGATTCAAACTTACACAGAAAGATAAAATCATCGAACTCCTAAACAAATGTAACTTAAATAATGCTAAAACCTGTGACACCCCTATGCAAACTGATTTTCTTAGAAACACTGATGAATCTTCCCCTGAGTTTAAAGACAACACATTTTACAGATCAGTTATAGGTTCACTCCTTTATATATCTAATTGGACTAGGCCAGATATTGCATTACCTCTCAATCTATTGTCAAGATATGTTAGTAAACCAACCTTGTATCATTGGGAAGCTGTCAAAAGAATTCTAAGATATCTGAAGGGTACATTAGATTTTTGTTTAATGTTGGAACCCAATAATGACAGAGAACCAAAAAATTACTTGTTATGCTGATGCAGATTGGGCTGGTGATACATCATGCAGAAAGAGTACTTCTGGTTATGTTTTTCTATTGAATGATTGTCCAGTTTACTGGTATACTGGTAAACAAGAACTAGTAGCCACTTCTACTACAGAAGCGGAATATGTTTGTTTGTCCAAGGCTGCAAATAACCTTGTATGGTTCAATGATCTGATCACTGATGTTTGGAAGAAACCCACCTTACCATTTATTATGCATGAAGACAATAAAGCGGCCATTGAAATATCCAGATCCGATGCAATTGGACAAAGGTCCAGGCATATTGATATAAAGTTTAAGCATGTGAGACAACTGTCTCAAGACGGATTCATTAAAGCAATACATTGCGATACTTCTGAACAATTAGCTGACATATTAACAAACCCTTACCTTCTAAACAACACAAATATTTAACTTCTAAATTATATGTATTAAATATTGTCCTGAATCAGAATGTAATTGGTGTTGTGTAACGAACCGGCATTTAGAGGGGGATTTGTCAGATGTAAATGCCTTATTCTCCAATGTGTAAATAATGTATATATGGAACATCAGAGGTTAACTTATTCTTTGGACTTTAATGTATTCATAACTTACCACTCCCATTCCTAGCTCCACCCCTTGTATATATAAGGAGCCACCCTCACCATTCTCGTCGCTTCTACCTTGAATATTCAGTGAATATAGAATGTCTATCATAATTAAAAAGAAATATATTTAAAGCTCTAACTCCTATTATCTTTATTGAGTCTGATCCTGAAAATATTGCAACAGTCCCATTTTCTAGCCTGCAGCTTAACCATTAGATCGAACTGGTGTCTGTCTATCTGTTTCTAGCCCTATCTCTAATCTCTATCCTCATTGTCGCCCAGAGTTACCCTGCAGTCAGAAGGATAGCCAATAAATTTGACAAACAAACAAACATACATACATACAGTAAGTAAGTAAGTAAGTAAGGTAAGTAAGTAAGTAAGTAAGTAAAGTTAGTTAGTTAGTTAGTTAGTTAGTTAGTTAGTTAGTTAGTTAGTGGTCCATGACGGTAATAAAGTTGTCGTTGCTATGAATGAATGAATGAATGAATGAATGAATAAAAAATTAAGTAAGTAAGTAAGTAAGTAAGTAAGTAAAGTTAGTTAGTTAGTTAGTTAGTTAGTGGTCCATGACTGTAATAAAATTTGTCTTTGCTATAAATGAATGAATGAATGAATGAATGAAGTAAAGTTAGTTAGTTAGTTAGTTAGTTAGTTAGTTTAGTTAGTTTAGTGGTCCATGACTGTAATAAAAGTTATCGTTGCTATAAATGAATGAATGAATGAATGAATAAAGTAAGTAAGTAAGTAAGTAAGTAAGTAAAGTTAGTTAGTTGTTAGTTAGTTAGTGGTCCATGACTGTAATAAAAGTTGTTGTTGCTATAAATGAATGAATGAATAAATAAATAAATAAAGTAAGTAAGTAAAGTTAGTTAGTTAGTTAGTTAGTTAGTGGTCCATGACTGCAATAAAAGTTGGCGTTGCTATAAATGAATGAATGAATAAATAAATAAATAAAGTAAGTAAGTAAGTAAAGTTAGTTAGTTAGTTAGTTAGTTGTCCATGACTGTAATAAAAGTTGTCGTAGCTATAAATGAATGAATGAATAAATAAATAAATAAAGTAAGTAAGTAAGTAAGGTAAAGTTAGTTAGTTAGTTAGTTAGTTAGTTGTCCATGACTGTAATAAAATTTGTCGTTGCTATAAATGAATGAATGAATAAATAAATAAATAAAGTAAGTAAGTAAAGTTAGTTAGTTAGTTAGTTAGTTAGTGGTCCATGACTGTCATAAAAGTTGTTGTTGCTATAAATGAATGAATGAATAAATAAATTAAAGTAAGTAAGTAAAGTTAGTTAGTTAGTTAGTTAGTTAGTGGTCCATGACTGCAATAAAAGTTGGCGTTGCTATAAATGAATTAATGAATAAATAAATAAATAAAGTAAGTAAGTAAGTAAAGTTAGTTAGTTAGTTAGTTAGTTGTCCATGACTGTAATAAAAGGTTGTCGTTGCTATAAATGAATGAATGAATAAATAAATAAATAAAGTAAGTAAGTAAGTAAAGTTAGTTAGTTAGTTAGTTAGTGGTCCATGACTGTAATAAAAGTTGTTGTTGCTATAAATGAATGATGATTGAATGAATAAATAAATAAATAAATACAGGTAGTCCTCGTCTTACAACAGTTCATTTAGTGTCCATTCAAAGTTAACAACGCCACCGAAAAAAGTGACTACTGACCATTTTTCACACAGCCATTGCAGCGTCCCCACAGTCACATGATCAAAATTCAGATGCTCGGCAACTGGTTCATATTTATGACCGTTGCTGTGTCCCAAGGTCATGCGATCCCCTTTTGCGACCTTCTGACCAGCAAAGTCCACGGGGAAGCCAGATTCACTTAACCACCGTGTTACTAATTGAAAACTGCAGGGATTCACTTAACAATTGTGGCCGGAAAAGTCGTTAAATGTTGGCAAAAGTCACTTAACAAATTTCTCACTTAGCAACATAGATTTTGGGCTCGTATTCATTGGTCGTAACTCGAGGACTACCTGTAGTCAGAGACACAACTTTTTTCCTGGATTCAGTCTTGTTTGGTGCAAAGCAAGAGAAAGCATTTTTCTCTGCATGTCACTTTGCTGGATATATTTTGGCTGTCCTCCTCCAGAAAAAGCAGATTAGGTTAGGTTAGGTTAGGTTAGGTTAGGTTAGGTTAGGTTAGGTTGGATGGGGTGGGGTGGGGTGGGGTGGGGTGGGGTGGGGTGGGATGGGATGGGGTGAATAGGATGGGATGAATAGGATGGGATAGAATAGGAAATACTAGAAGTAGAAGTAGAATAGGAAATAATAACAATAGAATAGAATAATCCTGGAGGTCCTCTGCAACCTTAAACATTTGGACCTGTTTCCCACAGAAAAGAAAACACCGGGAGCCACAAAACCCTTCCCGTGTCTGACTATTTTCTGAGCGGCCACAAAACTAGCATATGTAGTTGAATTAAACATTCTGTTTTCTTCTGAAACTTCTTTTCTTGGATTTATCCATGGTTGGCCTACCTGGGGTTGAAAAGCTCAATAAATTGTGTGCCAGCGGGTGTCACACATTGGCGGTTGTGACACATATTTTGAGTGACGGAGCCGCAGCAGAGGGGTGAAAGAGCCACATGCGGCTCCAGAGCCGCAGGTTGCTCACCCCTGCTCTAGTCCAACCCCCTGCTTAGGCAGGAAGCCCTACACCACTTCAGACAAATGGTTATCCAACATCTTCTTAAAAATTTCCAGCGTTGAAGCATTCACAACTTCTGGAGGCAAGTTGTTCCACTGATTAATTGTTCTAACTGTCAGGAAGTTTCTCTTAAATCCTAGGTTGTTTCTCTCCTTCTTTTCATTAAACTAGACACACCCAATTCCATCAACCATTCTTTATATTAGATTAAGGTATATAGTCTCTCCTTCAGCTAGCTACAGCATATCTTCATTAATATTTCAGGATGGCATGCCATGTGAGGAAGTAGCGGTTGGTTTTTCAGGACCAGAACAAGCTTTCCAGCCTCCGGATCAGAGCCAGCTGCACGGAGAAGCCAAAGGAGAAAGTGATGGGGACAACTGTCTCCCAGGTACTGTTTGCATCCCACATCCTTAAAACCTCTCGGTTTAAGTTTTGCTCCTCCTCCTTCTACACATCTTCTAAGGCACGATTTTCTTGTAAACGTTTCCACAATGTTTTAGCCTATCTTGGTTTAGATATGAATTTGAATGTTTTTTTAGGACATTAGACTGTTCTGTCCCCGTCCCACACGCACACACACTAACAGACGTCCAAGAGTTAAAGACTAAACCAGCCGACAAAATCCTTTTCCTTATGATAACGGAACTTGGCAACAACATAGTGGCTGCCTGCCAAGAGTTTATTACTTACGAAGAGGAGAGATAACTTCTCCCCGCTTCTGGTACATCAAAGCAAACAGCTCAATAATTACAGAGTCAATCAAGTCCAAAGATAATCCAGCAAAGTCTATAGCAAAAATCCGGCAATGCAGAATGGCGTGGAAGCTTTCAGCTTTGTTCGTCACAAGGTTTGACTGGCCACCACGCTCCCTTTTATACCCTGTGGGGTGTGGTCCAGTGACTCAGCCTAATCTCGGGCATGCCTTTTCTTCTGTTGCGCGCGCTTATCTCTGTGACACTGGCGTGGATCCAGCCAAGACTCATTGCTCTCATCACTGTCCACCTGTGGCTGCGTGGACGTGCTTGGCCCTGGCCCTATCTCTTGCCCTTCGGCGGACACCGAAGGCATTGCCAGAGAGGAGGGTCCTGGAGAGGGAGGCCTTGCCAACTCTTCTCCTTCACTCTCAGAGTCTCTCCTGCCGATGACACAGGCTCAGGTAATGGAGCCACAACATAGACAACCCATGTCCCGTTGGGACATCATTTCAAAGATAGAGGTAGTCCTCGGTTTATGACTACAATTGAGTCCAAAATCTCCATTGCTAAACCCTGACCTATAGTATCAACAAAAAAAAAAATCAGGACGAGTTTGGTAGCGTATTTTCAAGCCAAGAGATTATATTAAGAAGGATGAAGCTTTTGAGAAATGAAACGAATGAAAGTAAAGGATGAAATGAATTTCAGCTCACAAAAACTTCTCCCTTTCTCAGACAGAAAAAGTTGCCCCTGACTTCTGCACTGATTGGCTAAGATTTGCTTAGGGCAGAAGGCAGCATGAAGACATTGGGGGCAAACTAACAAAATGAAATTCAGTGGTAAGAAAAGTAAGGTTCTACACTTAGGCAAGAAAAACAAAATGCACAGGAACAGAATAGGTGGTGCCTGACTCAATAGTAGTAACTATTTAGAGGGATCTTGGAGTCCTAGTGGACAACCTCTTAAATATGAGTCAGCAGTGTGCAGCAGCTGCCGAAAAAGCCAACACAGTTCTAGGCTGCATTAACAGAAGGATAGAATCAAGATCACGTGAAGTGTTAATACCACTTTATAAAGCCTTGGTAAGGCTACACTTGGAACACTGCATCCAGTTTCGGTCGCCACGATGTAAAAAAAGATGTTGAGACTCTAGAAAGAGTGCAGAGGAGAGCAACAAAGACGATTAGGAGACTAGATGCTAAAGCATATAAAGAACAGTTGCTGGAATTGGATATGTCTAATTTGATGAAAAGAAGGACTAGGGGTGACATGATAACAGTGTTCCAGTATCTCAGGGGTTGCCACAAAGAAAAGGGAGTCAAAGCTTGAAGTGATGTCCCGGTGCCTGGAGGCTGTACGGATCTGGATGGGGAGAAACAGACTCAGGCTCAACCCATCCAAGACCGAGTGGCTGTGGTTTCCGACATCCCGATATAGTCAGTTGGTGCCATCACTGACTATTGGGGGCGAGTTGTTGGCCCCCACGGAGAGGGTTCGCAACTTGGGTGTCCTCCTGGACTCACGGCTGTCTTTAGAAGAGCACATGACGGCCATGGCCAGGGGGACTTTTTATCAGGTCTGCCTGATTCGCCAGTTGCATCCCTTTCTGGATCGGGATTCGTTAAATACAGTCACTCATGCCCTCATCACTACCCGCCTGGACTACTGCAATGCTCTCTACATGGGGCTCCCCTTGAGGAGCACCCAGAGGCTCCAGCTGGTCCAGAATGCGGCCGTGCGGGTGGTTATGGGAGCGATGTGGCACTCCCATGTGACCCCCCTCCTGCGCGAGCTGCACTGGCTCCCGGTGGTCTTCCGGGTGCGTTTCAAGGTTTTGGTTACCACCTTTAGAGCGCTCCATGGCTTAGGACCGGGGTATCTACGAGACCGCCTTCTGCCACCAGTAGCCTCTCACCGACCATTATGCTCCCACAGAGAGGGGCTGCTTAGGGTGCCGTCGGTCAAACAGTGTCGACTGGCGGCCCCCAGGGGGAGAGCCTTCTCTGTGGGAGCACCTGCCATCTGGAACGAGCTCCCCCCAGAGATACGGAGGATCACTGATCTGCGCGCTTTCCGCCGTGCCCTCAAAACATTCCTATTCCAGCAGGCCGGCCTGGCCTAACCTTTTTTTTAAACTGTTTTTTAAATTTTTAAATTTTAAATTTGTCGTATAAAAAAATTGGGGTTTTTAAATTTTGTTTTTTGGGCCAAATTATTTAATTGTATTTTAATGGTTTTTTAACATTTGTATTACATGTATTTTATCTTTTGGCTGTTCACCGCCCTGAGTCCTTCGGGAGTAGGGCGGTATATAAATCCAAGGAACTGAACTAAACTAAACTAAACTAAACTAAACTAAACTAAACTAAACTAAACTAAACTAAACTAAACTAAACTAAACTAAACTAAACTAAACTAAACTAAACCTAAACTAAACTAAAACTAAACTAAACTAAACTAAACTAAACTAAACTAAACTAAACTAAAGCTATTCTCCGAAGCACCTGAGGGCAGGACAAGAAGCAATGGGTGGAAACTAATCAAGGAGAGAAGCAACCTAGAACTAGGGAGTAATTTCCTGATAATAAGAACATTTAACCAGTGGTACGACTTGCCTCCAGAAGTTGTGGTGCTCCATCACTTGGGGGGAGGGGGGTGTTAAGAAAAGATTGGATAACCATTTGTCTGAAGTGGTGTAGGGTTTCCTGCCTGAGCAGGAGGTTGGACTAGAAGACCTCCAAGGTCCCTTCCAACTCTGTTATTTCATTCTACATTAAATCAACAGCTCTTCTTTTCTCATTCCAACAGAGTACGGACCTGCGAATGATCAGAAGGAGAGAAGCTGTTTGCAGGAAGGAGGTAAGGAAAGGGATCTGTGCTGGATCCCCCAAAGACAATTCGCGGAGAACTTTTCCCGGGTCCCCGAGCAGCGGAAACTCTTCCAGAATCAGACCCAGCCAAAGATTCAGCAAGGAATCCATATACGGAACAAAGCAGCCATATCCATCGCTTCGGTCATCAATAGGAAGATCTTGGGCAAACCTCTATTATTCCAGATCCAGAAGTCAAGCATCCCATCTGGGCTGGACTTGAGACAGGAACCAGACGATAACATCCCGGTTCCCGAAAGACCTTACCACAAGTGTTCGATCTGCGGGAAGACCTTTGGTCAAAGCTCGCATCTGAATTTCCACCAGAGGACCCACGACGTAGAGAAGCCTTACAAGTGCACCCAGTGTGGGAGCAGTTTCCACTCACGCCAAGGCCTCATCTACCACCAACGCATCCACGCCGGCGAGAAGCCATACAAATGCTCCTTCTGCGGGAAAAACTTCAGCCAGAGTTCTCACCTCCTGGTGCATAAGAGGAGCCACACGGGCGAGAAGCCCTTCAGGTGTCCTACCTGTGGGAAATGCTTCAGTCGCAACTCCCTTCTGACCATCCACCAAAGGACTCACACGGGGGAGAAGCCGTACACATGCTTGCAGTGCGGTAGCCAGTTCCATTCCGGTTCGGGGCTGATTAACCACGAGAGGATTCACGCAGGAGTGAAACCGTATAAATGCTCTACATGTGGGAGGGATTTCATCCGGAAGGCACACCTCACTCGGCACCAGAGCATACACAGCGATGACAAGGACGGCACGTGACCTGGCTTGTGAGGGACCTGGGGAGAGAAGCTCCTTCAAGAACTCACTGCTTATGTTAGATCAGGGGTCCTCAGTCTGTGGGTATGGCCCACTACCAGGCCATGGCCTAATTGCCACAGGGCTGCACGTGGGGCTGGCTGGTGCATGCGCATGGCCTCAATCGTCTGAGCTTCGCCACAGCCTCATTGTGAGTGCTTGTGGGCCCCCTCGTGTGAGCCTCGTGCTTGCGGTCCCCCTCGTGCGAGCCTCATTGTGAGTGCTTGTGGGCCCCCTCGTGTGAGCCTTGTGAGTGCTTGCGGTTCCCCTCATGCGAGCCTCATTGTGAGTGCTTGTGGGCCCCCTCGTGTGAGCCTTGTGAGTGCTTGCGGCTCCCCTCGTGCGAGCCTCATTGTGAGCGCTTGCAGCCCCACTTGTGCAAGCGTTGTCACGGGCTGTCGCAGTCCCATTCGCATGAGCCTCATCGCAGGCACTCGCAGTCCCATTTGCATGATCCTTGTCAACAGCGGTTGCAACTGCACTCATGAGAGCGTCATCGCAGGCATTCATAGCCCCACTCGCATGAATGTCGTTGTGGGCACTTGCGACCCCTCTCGCGCAAGTGTTATCACAGGCACTCACAGCCCACTCACACGAGCGTCATCGCGGGTGTTTGTGGCCCCACTCACACGAGCGTCATCGCGGGTGTTTGTGGCCCCACTCACACGAGTGTCATTGCGGGCACTTGTGGTCCCACATGCGCCTGCCCCCCCCCCCCCACAAAAATTCATCCCTTCTTCCCCTCCTCCCCTCGTTTGGGGCTGCCAACCTAGAAAGGTTGGGGAACTCTGTGTTAGATCACAGGAACAAACACAAGCCCTCTGAGTAACCACTGAGCATACATGTTTTAGGAATCAGAGTGAAAAGAGTAGTATAGATAGTCCTCAGCTTACAACCACAATTGGGACCAGAATTTCAATTGCTAAGTAAGGTAGGTGAGCCATATAGTGGAGTAGTAGTTGGAATGCAGTATTGCAGGCTAATTCTGCCGACTACCAGCAGTTCGATTTTGACTGATTCAACATTGACGTAGCCTTCCATCCTTCCAGGGTCGGTAAAATGAGGACCCAGATTGTGTGGGGTGGGATAATATTTTGATACTGTAAAAATGCTTAGAGAAGGCTGTAAAGCACTGTGAAGCGGTATATGGGTACGTCTAAGTGCTATTGCTAGTTGTTAAGTGAGTTGCACCCAATTTTACGACCTATTTTTGCCACGATTGTTCAGTGAATCACTGCAATTGTTAAGCGAATCGTGGTTGTTCAGCAACTCCGGCTTTCCTCATTGACTTTGCTTGTAGGAAGCTGGCTAGGAAGTCTGCAAATGGGAATTATGTGACCCCAGGATTCTGCAACTGTTGTAAATACATACCAGTTGCCAAGTGCCGAATGTTGATCATGTGAGCAAGGAGATGCTGCGATGGTTGTAAGTGCAAGGACCAGTTGCAAGCCATTTTTCCCCAGTGTTATTATAACTTCAAATGGTTGCTTAAGGATAATTAGAACTGCAGAAGAAACAATTGCTACCAACCTGCCTTCCATTGAGGATCTGTATACTCCATGAGTCAAAAAGAGGGCTGTGAAAATATTTACAGACCCCTCACATCCTGGACATAAACTGTTTCCACTCCTGCCCTCAAAATGATGCTATAGGACTCTGCACACCAGGACACAAGGCCAATTCTCCCCCACCCCACAAATACCATCACTCTGCTAAACAAATAATTCCCTCAACACTGTCAAACTATTCACTAAGGCTGCATTACTATTAATCTTGTCATTGTTCCTATCACCCATCTCCTCCCACTTATGACTGTATGACTGTAACCTTGTTGCTGGTATCCTTCCGATTTATATTGACTGTTTCCTAATATGATTTGATTGCTTATTTGTACCCTATGACTATCATTAAGTGTTGTACCTTATGATTCTTGATGAACATATCTTTTCTGAGAGCATATGCACCAAGACAAATTCCTTGTGTGTCCAATCACACTTGGCCAATAAAGAATTCTATTCTATTCTATTCTATTCTATTCTATTCTATTCTATTCTATTCTATTCTATTCTATTCTATTCTATTCTATTCTATTCTATTTCTATTCTATTCTATTCTTAACAAATGGTTCTAAGGAGGGGGGGGGAAATGCCTTACCAATTCTCATTCCATTTGCTGAAAGTAAATAATCTTGAAAGCCTCTTTTGAAGCAAACTCATTTTAGGCTTACGGTACTTTGAAGTCTTGTTGTGATGTATTGGCTTGTTGTGTTGCAATGAATCCAGAAAATGGATTAACTCATAGTCCACTTGTAAGATTTGGGGTAAGCCCCTGGGTGCTCAATTCTTCCAGAATCAATACTGTCAAACGATCCCACTAACCCACAAATGGCCAAAACAGTATTTTCAAGGTCATTTCATCACTGGGGTCTTCTATGGACTCCGAGATCATTTAGAAGAGAGACTATTTTAACATCTCCATCACAGTCTCCAGACTGATGTTGCTCAACTTTAAGATGCATGGACTTCAACTCTTAGAATTCTCCACCCAGCATGGGGAAATCTGGGAGTTGAAGTTCACTCATCATAAGGTTTTCCAAGGTTGAGAAGTCTGTTTCCACTAATTTGCAACTTTCTGAACCCAAGACCCAAAACCAATAACTTTCAGCTCCTCAGAAGCAGATCATGGTCTACTGAATTTCTGCCCAAGGATTTAACAAAACGAGATAAATAGAATGGCCATTTCCTCAGCCGGTATTTCAATCCTAATCAGAGCTGTCCAAGGTCCTGAAACGCTGGTCTCGTCACCAGGCGTCTAGCACAGCGGTCTCCAACCTTTCCGGCTTGGCGGACCGGCGTGGGAAGGCGGGGAAGGGAGAGGGGATTGTTCCGTGTGCGTGGTAGGCGCACTTGTGCATGCGCACAGCTCCATTTGTGGATGAGCTTGCCGCTTACGCGAGTGGAGCTTTGCGCGCTCGTGTGAGTGGAGCTACACGCGTGCCCCAGTTCCGAACGGGACACGACTGTGGGATTCAGGACCACCACTGGTCTAGTAATACCTTTTACGACTCAAGGATGAGCCTTGGTGGTGCAGCAGACTAAAGCACTGTTAAGTAACACCAGCTGCCTGCAATTACTGCAAGTTCAAATCTCACCAGGCTCAAGGTTGACTCAGCCTTCCATCCTTTTGAGGTAGGTAAAATGAGGACCCGGTTTGTGGGGGCAATAAGCTGACTTTGTATAAAAAAAGAACACTGCTTGGGGGGGGGCGAAAGCCCTACTAAGCAGGTATATACAAAAGTATGAAGGCTAGTGCTTAACGCATTGTAAGCCACCCCGAGTCTCCGGAAAAGGGAGGCATATAAATCGAACCAATAAATAAATAAATAAATAAATAAATTTTATTAAAAGACAGGTGCTTTCAACAGGTCTGCCTTTTAACAAACCTTGTTAATTGATATCAGATCTCTGCTTTCCTGCCCCCAAGGACTAATAATGGATCTCCTACAATCCCTCTTATCTTTGTTCTCTGCCAACTGACACCTACTTTTCAACACCTACCTTGATTAGATTTACTGCATATTCCTGACACCATCATGGTAGCACAAAAAAACAACAATTGTTGCCTGAAAACCTGTTAGAAGAAATATCCAGGTCCAGTTCCAAGTCGGGAATAAAATGAACACTGATTGGAAAGAAAGATTCTGTTTATTGGCGAACAGAACCAACACCCTCACAGCGTGCAGTTCTGGGACAGCTGACAAAATGGATTTAAGAGTGGGTGGGTTTTATACCGTCTGGATTCCTATGGGGTTGTGTAGGGGGTCATGGCTGGCTCTATAGGCAAAAGGGGAAATGCAAATCCTAGGTGTTTGTCTGAGTTAATCTTGTCAACTTTTGGCTTGTTGCTTTTCTGAAGTTTTCTGTCTGACCCAGTCTTTCTGAACAGATGACCAAATCTGCATTTCTAAAAGCTGACCTCCTCAGTTTCTGCTTAGGGGCAGGGAAAGGGCTGGTTTCTGCCTCCCTTAAGATTTTTTTTTTCCATTTCTCCTTTAGGGGAAATATTCTATCCTGTCTTTTTAATATTCCCCAAAATATTCCATTCTCTAAGAGGATGGTTGGGTGCTGACTTTCTACAAATCACAGTGGGCCAATGAAACTTACTCCATGAGTTTGACAGATGCCTGTTGCAATAATAATAGCAATAGCATTTAAACTTATATACTACCCTATGATGCTTTACAGAAGGGGTCCCCAAGAGCCTTGGTAGTACAGGGGTTTAAGGCACCCTGTTATTAAGCTTATTAAGACCAGCTGCCTGCAATTATTGCAGCGTTCGAATCTCGCCAAGGCTCAAGGTTGACTCAGCCTTCCATCCTTTCTAAGGTAGGTAAAATGAGGGCCCAGTTTGTGGGGGCAATAAGCTGACTTTGTATAAATATACAAAAGGATGAAGGCTATTGCTGAGCACATTGTAAGCCGCCCTGAGTCTTCAGAGAAGGGCGGCATATAAATCAAATTTAAAAAAAAAACAAAAAACCCTGGTCCGTGGCCCACTACCGGACTTGGCCTATTTGGAATTGGGCCATGACAGATCAATGTGCACATGTGCAACTCAACTTGTACAAGGAGTAAGATGGTACAGGCTGGCGCACATACATTTAAAAAAAATTTTTTGATTTATATGCCGCCCTTCTCCGGAAACTCAGGGCGGCTTACAATGCGTTAAGCAATAGCCTTCATACTTTTGTATATTTATACAAAGTCAGTTTATTGCCCCCACAAACTGGGTCCTCAATTTACCTACCTTAGAAAGGATGGAAGGCTGAGTCAACCTTGAGCCTGGGGAGATTCGAACTTACAGTAATTGCAGACAGCTGGTGTTAATCACAATGCCATCAGTCTGCTGAGCCACCAGGCTCAATCAAGCATTCGCAAATTGAGCTGCACTCATACACGCCAGCCAGCCACTCATGCAAGGACTGCATACGTGCACACACACTCATTCATACGGCCCAGTTTCCCTGCCTCCTGCCAGGCCACCAAGCATCAAAGTTTGGGGGCCACTGCTGTACAGCATTCTCTGGCAGGTTACAATTACAACAACAACATGCAAGCGCAGAAGCTTCCTGATGATGTCGGGGTCGGTGGGCAGTGTCACTGCGTTAAGTGTTTGCCAGCTGAGCTTCCATTCTGAGATTTACGGTAGCTTGCCAGGGAACTTATCTGTAACTGAGATAAGACTGGTCTTGTGAGACATTGGACTACTGCGGACAGGGCCGGATTTAGATGAAAAGAGGCCCTAGGCTATTCCACTTATGAGGCCCTTTCACCAGTGGTGGGATTCAATTTTTTTAACAACAGGTTCTGTGGGTGTGGCTTAGTTGGGGGTGTGGTTTGGCAATCATGTGACTGGGTGGGCATGGCTAGCTGGTCACATGACTGTGTAGGCGTGGGTAGCTCGTCATGTGACCGGGTGGGCGTGGCTATGTGCATAGGGACTACTCAGAGGGCTGAAAAAAGTCATTTCTGACTGGGCCTCGCACTTTTGACCGGTCCTCACACTTATGACCATCCTCACATTTATGCCCGTGCAGCTTTCTTAACAACCATGTCACTCATTTCACAACTGCTTCTCTTCACCATGG